GTTCTCACCCCGGTTCAGAGTGCACCTTCAACTGGTTCACGTAGGGCGCGACGTAGGTGCATCCGACCTCGGCGGCGAGCGCGGCCTGGGTCCGCGTGAAGAGGGTCGTGGCCAGGGTGCGTACCCCGGAGGCTTCGAGGAGCGCGCAGGCGCGCAGGCCCTCCCAGGTGCTGGGGATTTTGAGGCAGAGGCGCGATTGCGGGAAGGTGGGGTGGAGGTGCTGCGTCAGGTGGATGATTCCTTTACTTGTGATTCAGTTTGGAGGTGGAGGTGCTGCGTCAGGTGGATGATTCCTTTACTTGTGATTCAGTTTGGAGGTGGAGGTTGGCCTGGAAGGGGGGGGATTGGGTGTGGTTTCTTGGGGGAGGGGAGGTGTATACGTACGCCATGCGTTTGTGAAGGTCTTGGTGGTGGAGTAGGCGTAGTATGGGTTGGTTTGGATGTGGATGGAGCCTGTGATGTGCGGGGCGATCTTGAGGGCGAGTTTGATTGTCTACTCCAGAGGAGAGAGAGGAGTGGTTTTGGTCAGTTGTGATTATTTGAGCTGTTGTCGTGGATGTGTTTTGAAAGGGCTGGTTAGTTACATACTGCGATCTCGACGGCCAATTCCTCGACGCTGGGACCGGGGAATTTGGGCGATAGCTCAATTGCTTCCTTGACGGAGGCGGTGATCAGGTTTTTGTGCTCTGGCTTGGAGAGCTCTCCGAATGCGATTGCCTACCATTGTGAGTATTGGTTGGTCTCAGTAAGTAGGAGTTAGGGTTTGGGTATCATCTGCAGCGGACGAGTATACTGTACAGTACCTGATTGGAAGTGCAATCCTGGAAGGGGCCGAAGGTTTTGGCAACTGATCATGATTAGATGACAGTTTGGTTAGCTCCTCATTCGAAGCGATCTTCCAAAATGCTGCACAGACCTTGCTCATCCATTGTATCGCAGTCGACAATCGTCCTTTGGCGGAGAACATCCAGTGCTGTCTGCGGGGTGGTCATTGTGATAAGGATAAGATAAGGAGGGCCAGGTGAGCTGATAATGGCAGCAGTTGATCGAGCGGTGGGGTAGGATCATGATGGAGAAGGAGAAGAAGAAGAAGAGAATGTGCTTATAAGAAGAAGGCAAGCAAAATGGCCTGATCACCGCGTGGGTGCAGAACAGTACAGGCATTGTCAAACAAAGAAAGCTCGTCGAGCTGACATAAGCGCTGCCAACTCTATATAACATAACATGGCTGTTCGCTTCTTCGTCAAACACGTTGCCTCCAAGTTGCAAGCACGAGAAGCACGTATCTGATCAGCCGTTCAAACTACATTCTAGCTGACACCATCGAGTATTCGAAAGTTCCGTAATAAGGAAGAAGTTCACCGAAAGGACTTTGTCGCCATCACCAGGGCTCTTACTACTCAGCCAGCGTCGTTACCCCCCGATCCATCATACCGCCGTGTGCGAGCTGAGCTTCTTGCTGCTGTCAAAGACGGACCACATTCACCACCACAATGCCAGTTCGTGTCATTTGCGCCGGCTGCGCAAAACGACCTTCTCAACATGATTGGGACAGTAGCTGGCTCGGAGGGTACACCTTATGAGGGGGGCTTGTTCCTGATTTCTCTTTCTATCCTCTTGTCGTATCCGAGCCAGCCACCCGACTGTCGATTTGCGACCAAGATCTGGCATCCTAATGTCGGCCACGATGGCCAGATCTGCTTGAACATCCTGGATGAGAACTGGAGCAAAGCGCTTTCTATCACAACGATTCTCATCTCGTTTGTCGCATTGCTCGGGAGCCCTGGCCAATTTATGGAAGAGGAGGGAGGGACATCAAGCCCACTGCGACCAGAGGCGGCAGAAATGTGGTTGCCAAACTCGGCAGAGTTTGAGAAAACTGCGCAGGAGTGGACTCGCCGATATGCCATGTCTGTCCAGGCCGAGGATTGATTGGTATTGTTGAGAGACAGAAAGCTCGCAAGAGAGATTCAAAATCGAACTACAACCACCTTGTCAACATACTCATACATAGTAGTATCTCCTGAATTCATAGCTGGATCGCTGATTGTGGTAAGGTTCTCATATCCTACACTGTGTACGGAAAGAGAGATTAGCTAGGTACAGAGCAGAAGATAATAGTATATCTGATAACAAAGTAGTTCTTATTATTCTAAGATATAGTAAAGACTGAAGTATTTAAACTATAAATTATAGATCAGAGGATCGTATCTTTGGAACTAGTAAGTACTATTTATAACAACACCAACGATCCTGCTCATAACAAAGATAATCTTTGCTTCCTGTGTGTAAGGCGGCTCTTTGCATTGATAGTAGACCCGCCAGTAGGGCGATTTATACGTTCTGTGCCAATCTGGAAAACAGGAGGTTGTCTTGTCAAATATGGCTATCAATTTGCAGAAGGTCAAATTTCAGCACTTTAGCTAACAAGACTGGTAAATCACTAGCATTTCAATGAATAGAGCGTCACAGTACAGCCTCTCACGTTATCTCGCCCAAATCCGCGGCGACTGCTTGTCAACTCGGTACAAGAAGCTCGCACTTGGTCTTGTTTCGCATTCGCTGTCGGGGTAGATCGACAATTGCCAGCCGCTCGCCCACGCTAGGAAGTAGCAGAAGCATGATTGTTGACGCCGCCGTCAGATTGGTTGGGCTCATCCTCCTCCTGGGAGGAATGTCGTGGCCAAGCTTGAAAAGCATCATGGCTATACTTGATTGTCGTGCCTCGCTCGCGGACGTACTGATTTAAAGCGCTCTTGAGAAGATCCGGCTCGATGTCCCGCCGAATTTCGTAGAATATGTCTCGGCCAAATTTGCGATCGAATAAGAGATACCGAATAGGGAACGGGGCACCTGCTGCGCGATCTTTCTTGAACTCGCTCAAGATGATATCGATGTTGGTGCGATTCAGGTTTCTGGACGTCATTGTGTATACGTGGGTGGATGATGCCCTTTGAAGAAGTGAGGAAGTATCTGGCTTGTAGTTAAGCCGGAAATTAGATACCTAGTTGAAATTAATGAGCTGCTTTTCTAAAGGCGAGAAAATGCTGCCTTATCTACTTTCCTTGTAGTCTAGTGGTTTAGGTCATTTTAGGCAGTCGGCTGTCCTTCGCGGCTGACTACCATGCAACCTGTTTAAGCAATGAGACCAGATTCAACTGCAGGCATAAGCCTCTCGACCTTTCTGGCGCCCACCGTAGCGTCTTGCTGCCGCTGCTTAGTGCTACTCATAAAACTAATGTTTCTAGCTCAGTACTTTTGTGGCCGTCTATGTGATGCAGTTTTTGTATCGAATTCCCGCCGATTCATATTATTACTCCTGGGCTAGATACTCCCGACAATTCTATCGCTTTCGAAGGCAAATCCAGCAGGTGAATCGATCACTAGCGAATTGAGCTTGAATATGCTGGATCGAATCTGCGGTGGGGTTGGATCCCGTTATCAATCGGATGCCGCTGTCTCAGCCCTAACAATGCCGATATCTGACTGAAGACAGTGTCCGGGTTAAGGGTTGCGCGTACAACCCTCAGCATTCGATTGACAGTTGGTTAACTGCTCAATTTAACTGGCTGTTCCCTCAGAAGGCTCAGATTATTGGGCTATTCGAGAAGCCGATTGTCGTTGTTCTCGAGTGGCTAATCGTGTGCATCCATAACTTGTCAGTAGTAGACCACCAGCGGGCATCAAGCCCGCAGGACAATGACCATTATTCCCAATGACCAAAGCTCCAGCATCAACACTCCGGGATCAGAGCTCCAGAACTTCGAGCAGGAGACGATGTAAGCTGTCAATCTTGAATGCCGTTTGACAAGCATCGGATTGTACACATTGACTACAATGGCAACCAAGTACCTTTCCACTACAGACTACAGCATGTAACCCTGATATGAAACCCTTTCATCTCATTGACGAGAGACAAATGGGCGATTAACGACGGGACAAGTCCTTCTCAGGTATCTCATTGACCTCTGCGGAAGCGACAGAATGCCGAACCAGTGAGGCCCTGCAAACCACGTCGACATCATCCCAGATGGTAGACAACGTGTGCGGAGACCCTTGGGAGAAGGAAAGGAAAAGAAAGAGAAAAGAATTGTCAAGCACGCACACAAATGAAGAAAAGAGCTCGGCACAAGCGCGGGCGGTGAGGGAATGGAAGATGAATCTTCCGAATGGTAATGCAGCGTTGCTCATTGGCCCAGAATCCCCCTCCGGGGACTGGTCCCGTGACCTGGAGTCGAACCCGAGGTTGTCCGTCCCGTGATTCCGAACCGCTACGAGAGTCGGGAGTTCGAGGCTACTTTCTTTCCTGGTCGACCACGAACGACGACGACATTCCCTTTTCTGTCCACTGTCCAATCTCCAGTCGCTGCACCGCCTGTCAGGTCCTTTCACACGCGTCACAATGCTTTCTCAGAAGGTTACCCAGCAGTCACTGCGACGGCGTACGTTCTTACTCCTCGATCCTACAGCCATGGGGCTCCGCTAACCGATTCGTTTGCAGTCGCCGTCCAGCAGCCCTACGCCCTGCGCTGGTCCTTGATGAACTCCGCCTCGCCTGCCGCCGTTGCTCTGGGAAGAAATGTTCAGATGAGGTGAGTTGTCGCGCCGAAGGATGGACGGACTATTGCGACAGGCTTCTCCATTGGGTGGATTTCGCGATCTCGAATTCGACCGCAACCGCGTGAGGCGGAAGGCCATGATAGATCCGACACATGTGGGGATATAGCACACAGGGTCGCTAACCTATCTCGTCGGATTAGACAAGCTACCACCAGCACGACCACCTCCGACCCCAACAAGCTCCTTGCTGAGCAGCGTCTGCGCCGCCCCGTCGCTCCCCACCTTTCCATCTACAAGCCCCAGATCACCTGGATCGGCAGTAGTTTGCACCGTATCACCGGTGTCGCGCTGTCCGGCAGCCTCTACCTCTATGCGACTGCCTACCTCGCTTCCCCAATGCTCGGCTGGGACCTCGGCTCTGCCTCCGCCGTTGCCGCCTTCGGTGCCCTCCCTGTCCTCGCCAAGGTCCTCCTCAAGGCTACCATGGCCATGCCTTTCACCTACCACTGCATGAACGGTGTCCGTCACTTGATTTGGGATACCGGTCGCGGTCTCACCAACCCCCAGGTCATCAAGACTGGCTGGACTGTGGTTGGCCTGAGTACGATTAGCGCTCTGATTCTTGCTTTGCTGTGATTTCGCTTGTGCCATACCTTTTGATTCCTGCTCTGTCTAAAATGTTCTTCTTGCAATATATATTCCATAGCCAGTCAATGGATGACTGATTGCTTTTTTTTTCTTTTGGAAAAACCCAGTGTCCTACTTCTTCGTCGTGAACACATGACTTACACACCCGCAGAAGGAAGCGGCTGTGTACCATTTCGTAGGGCAATTCTCGGACATTGAGCCCCTGTCATGGATTTGGCATTTGGGGAATTGATTCATGCAGCATACGAAGACAGCACCTGCAAACAGCGCCACATACTGCTCATGTCACTAACATTGTAGCCAGACTGATCTCATTCTCTAGAACAATTGCAACGATAACTCCAGAAACCCCATCTTCGGTCCAGTCTATGACGATTTTCCCCAACGGTTGCCCCCAATGGTGCTCCCCATTTCAAATTCACAATCTCTGATTAACTAAACCTTCATGCCGATGATTTTCTTTTCCCGCCCTTGATGCTTGGTCGGCCGCAATCCTAGCCGCAAAAGTCTGTTACATAGTTAGAGCCGATCCTTCTATGTCTTTGGCTCTCAAGGTGCGCATCTGCATGTCTTTCGCGGGATATGCACGCTCGAGCGGGAAGAATGGCCTTACCTATACAGGGATTCCTTGTTGATTCAACGACGATCGGTCGTTATGGTCTGTGAGTTCATGCCGGACTCGGCGGAGGGTTGGGAGGGAAAGGTTGAGGTGAAGGCGGATCATGGACCGAACAGTTACTCAGAGGAATCCCCTCACTGTTGATCTCAACTGGAAGAAGGTCCAAGCCTGACCAAACTTCGGAACGGAAGTTGTACATTGTCCAGAGTGACATGCTGACCTGAAGAATCGAGCCGGATGGGCAGACTGCGGAATAGCTCGGGGTATTTTCGTAGTCCGGAGATGGAGGATGAATTGAGGTTGCTTGACACCACTGACAAACAGAGGGGAGGTCAATTGACTGGACGAGCTGATTGAGGTATAAGACAAAGGCAATGTCAACGCATGCACATACACACAAGAGTGTTTGATGAGCAGTCACTGCAGAGCGAGCTACAACCTTCCTTTATATACTGCCAATTCTGAAGTCCAGAGACCGGGTCGAAATGGGCGCTGGGCCGGGTCGTACACCGCTATACTGTTCGACTTCCGTCTCCACGGCAAGAGGCCGCGTGGGGGGATATGACATTTCCAATGGCCTTAACGCTGATCACTTCGTCAACGTTGATAGATCTCGATGCGTCTCCCGCCTTGTCTGCAAGGGACCGACGGGATTGGGTCTCGTCTAAAGATGTCGGACAGTGTGCTTGCAGCCGGCATGTCTCGGTTCATGACTACAAGACAATACTTCAGATACACTGGAGAACGGAGAACAGAAGACTACGATAAGCCAAGCATACTAGCAGACTGTTCAATCATGGCGATGCTGTGTGAACTAACAAGCATCGAAACTTCCTTACGTCTTTGACTGTCGCAAACCATATGACCTTAGATCTTAGAGCCTGAGCCAGAAATGAGGCTGATATTTTCTGCTTGCTCTCCATGCCTAAGGGCCGAGGGTCGATGCGCACGCCTAGCGAACAGACCCTGGAACGTAGACGCCAGGTGGACGTTTTACGATCTTCCATCCTCTAAGGCGATTCCGGCAGCTTGGCCCGAATTGTGGCTTCAGGATTCCCGGGGAATTGGGGGGAAAGGGTGCGTTTGCCTTCGCATAAACGGGGCCCCAGGAAGTTTGCTTCGATACAGGGATTCTGGGGAGCTTCCATCTGTGCAAACAACCGGCCAATGGGGGAAGATGAACGTGTGTTCAGCAAATAGTGCAGTCCTCGACCATGAGCTTACAGTAAATGCTAACGTTGAAGCACCTGGCAAGCCGTTACTACTGACTCGGCTTATTCCGTACACCTGGTTCACCATATACCACTACTCGTCTTCCTTCGGATTGCTCATTTTCGCACCACCGAGGCAGGTCTTGATCGGATCTTTCCAGTCAGCCTTGATTTCTAGAAGCGGTCTGCAAACGGCATGATCGCAGTTTCGGGTATATGGATATCGGTGTACAACGCAGGCCTCTTGGATGCCATGTCTATCGTCGGAAGCACGTGGACAGATTCCTGAGCTCGAATCGAAAGCACCCGGAATCGAAGCAACCCTGACCCCAAGTACCCGCGAATTGCCTGGCCAAGCTCTTCTTCCTAAACGGCTCATGCATGAGACCGTCTCCAGTGATGTCTCAAGTCTACCTCCCGACGACTTCTGACGGGGTAGCTGCTCAGAGTCGGGTAGAGGGCAGTCGGCGGCCCCGGGGTATCCTACACCTTCCAAGCCTAGGTATCCTGTGGTAACAGGCTTGCTCTGACTTCCTACTATCTACTTTACGGGGGAATGCAATTGGATCCTTGTTTCCCGCAGAGCGATGTCGTCCGGGAATCGGGTGCGATACAAGGAATTACGCCTTGGGCGGTTCTCGTTCTAGGTTGGCTCAAGAGGTTTCGGGGGCTTGGGGAAGCACTCGTCTCCTCTTCGCCTTGCTTGTAATTGATATCGCCTGCCAGTGCAACACTGGCCCGTTGGAACGAGAACCTCCCGGCCGGTACTGTACGTCCCCTGTCAATAGCAGCTTTGAAATATGCTGTCTCCGAGGGCGACTGGTATCACCTTGCTTCACAATCTTGGCAGTGAAGATAAGGCGAAGCTCTTTACCGCTGGTCTGTTTGCATCGGCCGAGCCTGTCTGAAGTGATGGATCACGACTTCATGCCGAAGCCGGTCCACCGATCTCTTCCGACTCGTCCACTAGACTAGAGTATGGACTCCTAACACATCCATTGCACGTTGTCTATGCACAAGGAAAACGGAGCGACAGGGGTGACACGGAAACTGCCCCGAGGGTTCCGTCATCCGAAATTTTGGCTCCTGGTCGTTACACATTACGGACAGGGAGGGAAGTGATATGCCCCCCTCCCTGTCAGCCCATATTGCGGTGTAGAAAGAGTCTTCCAGGCGGGAAGCTGTCACTTAGGGCAGGCAGGCTCCGAGCTCGGCGGTTTCCTTTCTGATGTTCCAGTCCATCCTGTAAACTGTGACCTACGAGTAGCTCCTCTCCTCCGTAAATGACTCGTGGTCTTACTGGCTATACCCTTTCACACATTGAGGAAGTTTCTATCGCTTTAGTGCTTTTGCCTCGCATCTTTCGTCTTGGACTTTGGCGGGATTTGGCGAGTCACTGGAGCATACGGGTTCTTGCGCCTAGATCTACCCTAAGATCTTGCCCCATCATCGAAGAGAGAGAGAGGGTGATTCATGGGGAAGTACGTAACCTTCCGTCGGTTCATAGTACGGCATCCATTAGCATGCAGCGGGCCCTGAGTATGAGGAAAGAGAATCACTACTTGCATATCGACCGTCGGGGTTTGGTGGCAAGATATATAGTACCGATGCCGGGTTCCGATAGCGCGGAGATGCTCCTGGGGCCATTGTTGGAGATGGGTCTCAAAATTGGTACACAAACCCAGCCCGTTCGAGTTCTCAGATACTCTACTACGCCAGCATAACAGGTTCAATGCTAATTCCTGTAGCAAGAGGAGTCACTTACTCATGTATAACCTGCAAGATGCGTTAAGGTACAGGACAGTCCTGTAGCCGCTCATGCCCCGGCCCGCAAAGAACGGGACTGAAGGGGAACGCCGGAGAAAGCGCTAACCCAATACGGAATAGCGCGTCTCCGAAATCTTCCTGGAGTCCATCATGAATTATAGTTGTTGTTGCCATCGACCGTGCAAAAAAAAAGAGAAACCCCGGACTGGCGACCCCTCCTCTCACCCCTTCTCCCACCACTCCGAGTTCCCGGTTTCTCACATATTCAATGGCTTCGACACTGTCCACTCGCGCGGTCAGGACGCTCTCCGGCCCCGCGTGCCGCACCCTCGCTCGTCCCAGCGCGATCGAATCCGCTCTCCTTCCGCGGCGAGCCTTGTCGACATCCACGGAGGAGGCGCCTGCCAGCCAGCAAGATCGGCCGCGGTGGTCCTACACGCCCGAGCGTGCAAAAGCCCCCTTCAGTCTGCGCATTGATTCCAAACGCCCGGCCTGGAACTCCAACTCCGACCCTAGGATCCTCGATCGGTTCTACATCGGCCTGCTCGGCCCTGACGGGGACAAGCTCCTATCGGACGAGGTCAAATGGCTGGCCGTGACGCACAAGAGTTTTGATCAGGGACGGAGAGGTTACAATGATCGTCTGGCTTTCTTGGGTACGTACGGGGGAGGAGGGAGAGGTGGAATGGGGGGACCGAAGGGCTCTCCTTCCCACTTACCGTTGACATGACGGCGCGGCTAACCTTCGATCTCTTCTTGTCGATAGGCAAACGGATTGTCAAACTACAGGCTTCGCTGGCCCTGGTGCAGGGTCCGGCTCCCAGTGCCCCGACTCCGGACGCCTATGGCCGCGTGCCCTTCAGCCATCCCGATCTGGAGGGCTTGAACAATCTCTCCTATAACATCAAGAACTTCATGACACACAAGGCCAAGATGGCGCAATTGGCAAACAAATACTCACTCGCGAAGGTTCTGAGATGGTCTCCTCGGCAGGTGAGTGACTTGCATCTGTTAAACCAAAACACCGATGCTGCTTTCCCTTTAATTCCCCGGTTCCTATCATGCTACCTTGGAAAGCGCACGCGAGCTGGGGAACAGGATGTGGGCTAACATGTGGTCTCTCAAACTCTCTAGCCCCTCAACCTCCAGGCCTCCGGATTGGAGCTCGTTCTCGCTCACACGATGTACGCTATTATCGGCGCCATCTCGCTGGAGAAGGGCGGCGACTTCGCCAACAAGGTGGCACGTGAGCGGATACTCAAACCCCTGGGCTTTCAGCTCAAGGCATGAAGAAGTCGGGGAGGCAGGACTGAATTGAATTCTTCGGGGCAATTTTTCGCAGGGAGCATACAATTGCGTTTATTTTTGTTTTTTTTTTTTTTTTGTTTTTTTTTTTTTCCTTTATTTTATTTCTGAAATTTTTTTTTTTTTTTTTTTTTTTTTTTTTTTTTTTTTTTTTTCCCCTTCTGTTTTGGTCTTGGGGGGGGATCTTGGTCCCATATGTGTATTGGGGGATCATCACTTTTCGTTCGACCGTATATTATGTATTTTTAACCACCACCACCACCACCACTACGACCTGTGCTATATGGAACTGCAAATACCAACCCGCAAGATTTTCTTCACTCTATCTTGGATATTCGAGTACATAGCAGATAGCAAGCTTCAAAAAGGTCGATAATACATTTGGGGGAGAAGATAGGGATGTACGGTTCCTCTGACACCGCCCGAGTAACAGTAAGCAAAATACTCGGCCAGCTCTTATGGAACCCTCGAAGAATACGATTCTTAGTCTTCGCACCTTGGTATCGCAAGATCAGCCATGGAAAACCGAGAACAATCAACAGAATGTCGAGTTGAACTTGGAAATCGCTTTGGATGCAATTTACACTGGCTTGCACTGTCTAGAAAGGGCGTATGGTACAAAGAAAGAAAAGAAAAAAAAAAGCCGGAGGAAATTTCGCAGCAAAAAGACGAATTTATAGTGGGATGGGGGCCTGTGGCGCTAGACTCCTTTGAGAGAAGCGTAGCTCTTGAGAAGGCTTAGCGGCACGTGTCCTGATGCCTGAGGCGTTATTACTTACCAGTACGTCAGGCTGGTATTATATGGCTAGAGTGCTAAGGGCTTCGGTGTAAGATTTGTATCAGACCAGACCGACAGCCGCAATCCAGCCCATTGACAACTTTAGGTATGAGTTCACTCACTAACTTTAAGGTCAAACACAACCATCTTATACGTGCTATTGCTCGGTAAATGACTCTCTACTTTGTTGCAGCGCTGTTGATGCTTCTCCTCCACTGACACCAACTGATATTGTTTACCTTCAGCTCGAATCCCTCCCTTATCTAGATCCAGCAAGCATGTCGAGTAACTAGTGGTCTGGCTGGCCTCTCCCGTTCACACTCGCCAGCGTCTCTCTCTCCCGCACTGACACTCCCCTTCCCATCTCCATCTCCTTCCTGACCACCTTCACTCTTGACTACTTTCTTACTCCCCCGACGTCGGATCTCCTCCCATCCTTGTCGCCATGGCGTCGGCTATTTTCTTCCTTGATCTGAAGGGCAAGGTAAAACCACCCTAGCAGTGCCTCCGCGTCCGTCCCTCCTGGTACCTGACCGTCTTAGTAGACCCTTCTAGCCCGGAACTATCGCGGAGACATCCCTATGTCCGCGGTCGAGAAATTCCCCATCCTCCTCAGCGACGCCGAAGAAGAGAGCTCCGCCGTCGCCCCCTGCTTCTCCCACGAAGGAATCAATGTACGTATCGACCTGCGCCCGCCGCGCCGGCGGCGGCGGTGCGGCGCACACACATGCACCTCCCTATTTACCCCCGCTGTTCCCCGCAGCCCGCACCCAGTGCTGCTGGCTGCGCACCAGCATCACCCATCACCCATCACTCTCATACCACTTCAATGCGTACTTGCTTGGAAAAGTGGCACCTACCGCAGCTATATTCGGGATTGGTTCGTGTTAATTAATTATGGAATTCGGCATAGTACCTCTACATCCGTCACAGCAACCTCTACATCCTGGCCCTGACCAAGAAGAACACCAATGCCACCGAAATCCTCCTCTTCCTACATAAGATCGTCGAGGTGTTTACGGAATACTTCAAGGTGCTGGAGGAGGAGAGTATCCGGGACAACTTTGTCATTATCTACGAATTACTCGATGAGATGATGGACTTTGGGTACCCGCAGACCACGGAGAGCAAGATCTTGCAAGAGTAAGTTTCTTTGATCGGTCTTCTGCTGCTGCTCGCAAAGAAGCAATAAGCAGTTTCAACCTTCTTTGAGAATAGCGGGGTGCTGACTCGGGGCGCAATAATTCCAGATACATCACACAAGAATCACACAAGCTCGAAGTCCAAGCCCGACCGCCCATCGCGGTCACCAACGCCGTCTCTTGGCGCAGCGAGGGCATCCGCTACCGCAAGAACGAAGTCTTCCTCGATGTTGTCGAGTCCTTGAACCTCCTCGTCTCCGCGTCTGGTAACGTGCTGCGATCGGAGATTCTGGGCGCCATCAAGATGAAGTGCTACCTGAGCGGGATGCCGGAGCTGCGGCTGGGCCTGAACGACAAGGTCATGTTCGAGACCACGGGCCGCGCCACGCGCGGCAAGGCTGTCGAGATGGAGGATGTCAAGTTCCACCAGTGCGTGCGACTCTCGCGCTTCGAGAATGACCGCACCATCAGCTTCATCCCGCCGGATGGCGAGTTCGAGCTCATGAGCTACCGGCTGAACACGCAGGTGAAGCCGTTGATCTGGGTGGAGTGTCTTGTCGAGTCGCACTCTGGTTCGCGGATGGAGTACATGCTGAAGGTGCGTCGAATTTCTTTTCAATTGGGTTGGGGCTTGGTTGACTGACGGCACGCATCCGCTACCATCGACAGGCCAAAGCACAATTCAAGCGCCGCAGCACGGCCAACAATGTCGAGATCCTCGTGCCCGTGCCGGAAGATGCCGATTCGCCGCGGTTCCGCACCAACATCGGCACCGTCCACTACGCCCCGGAGAAGTCCGCCATCATCTGGAAGATCAAGCAGTTCGGCGGCGGCAAGGAGTTCCTGATGCGCGCGGAGCTGGGCCTGCCCTCCGTCAAGGGCGACGACGAGCACGGCGGCGGCATGACGGGCGGCTTCGGCGGCAGCATGGGCGGCACCGGACAAGGCAAGGCCAAGCGGCCGATCAACGTCAAGTTCGAGATCCCCTACTTCACCACCAGTGGGATCCAAGTACGGTACTTGAAGATCACAGAACCAAAGGTATGTTGCAGCGCCTTTCATCGATTCTGCTATCATGCTAACCTCGATGGGACTTGACAGCTACAATACCCCTCCCTCCCCTGGGTACGATATATAACCCAGTCGGGCGATATCGCCGTCCGCATGCCAGATGTACAATGATGTATAGCGTTTCCAACCCTCCCACCCCCTTTCGCATGTACCGTCCTCGTTCTTTTCTGTCTCTTCTACTAGTCCAAATCAGATCTATTATAAATACTTTTCTCCCCCTCCCCCTCCTCACCCATGGACTAGTCCAGTTCCTGGCAGTTCCATACATAGATGGTCATGGACATAATTTGGCTGTCGTGCCTTGCCCCCTTGTTTTCTGTTATAAGGTTGTATAGTAGCGCACGTAGCCCGTCGCGGACCTTCCCTTGGATTTCTTGTTTCTTGCTCAGTATGAATGATTATCTACCGACTTCGCCTATCTCCAGGCGGAAGTCTTCCGTCCTTAGGTCTCTGTGGTGCTTGCTGTAGTAGTGTACATAACACATCGTGATCTCCGCTCTGGATCTCAGGTCCCGTGTCCCACGTCCCAGGTCTCGGAAGAGAGGGGAAAAAAGGAGCTCAGATGCAGAAACCGCGGAAGGCTAACCAACGGCTGGTCGTGGAAGACCTCGCTGGCGGGCGGGAATCAACCGAGTTCGGCCGACAGAGAGAGAGAGAGAGGGAGAGACGGAAAGGCCATCCGCAGGGCCTAGTTAGTACTGACTAACGGGACCACCTACGAGTGACTAGTGACTGGGCCCCCCCAAAGTGTGATGTCCCGAAATAGGTCTAAAAGAGGAATGAGCTAGGAGGAGAAGGAAAGCGGATAGGGGATGGAGAGTTCAAGTTACGAGGTATATAAGCCCAGGGGTATGTAGGCTACTGCGTTCTCTGAACAATCAGGTGAAGGAATACATAACTAGCGACGGCTACGCCAGAGGATGCTTCGCGGGGGGATTAGGAGCAGGAAACCGGTGCGAAGTGATCGAAGGAGGGGGTTTTATTCGGGTTCTATATTTTCTTTTTGAGAAGGCTTGAATACATACACACATACACACAGAATAAAGGTCGAGGAGATTGACGATGCGGCGCATGCTAATCAGGTTTGGAGATTGAAGGGTATCTTTAAACGGATGGGATGGGATGGGGCAAGGAGCGTTGGGATTGGGTGGTTCAATGCACTGAGATTTCTCCGCTCGGGGCCAGTGGAATGGCAAGCGTGGGACTTGGCTGGTGGGTGCGGTGCCTAGTTTGCTGGGTGGTGCAGGCTAGATTGTTTGTGATGGGGTGGGTTAGAGGATGTAGGGGATGTGTGAGCATGTGGAGAGGAGGCGTCTATCAGACCTCCTCGGTTTTGGGCCCCCTAGACAGTGGGTAGATGCTCCTTATGATGGATATGGCGGCGGAGAGTCGCGCATACTCTCATCTACATCGGACGGGCCGCGTGTCAGTGCTGATGAACCTGATGGGAAGGTCAATTTGACCTCTTGATCGATAGTTTTGATGAGTAGATCAATCATGCGCCCCGTTGGTCCCGTCGGGCGATTCGACAGTAGGGAGCGGGAATCCATCGCCGTGGCCGGTGGCCGCCGCTTTGGAGAAGCCCTCGCGGGCGAGCATGGTGTTGAGCACGGCGCAGTTGTAGGCCGCTTCGCCGGGGGGCACCACCAAGAAGATATACGTGTTGTCCGTGAACCGGCCGAGGAAGACGTTGAACTGCGGGGTCTTGGTGTGCATGACAACGAACCCCGCGGACGCGGGCGTGGTGTGGGTGTTGCGGGCGGCGCAGTGCTTGAAGGCCTTCATGATGTTGGAGAGGCGCTCGTGGCGGTCGTAGATCGGGTTCATGTCGCCGATCTCGGACGACACGGACGTGACGGTGAGGAAGGTGGAGCGCTCGAAGAGGATGACCTCCTCGGCATCCACGCGTTTGGCGAATGCGTGGAGGAACCGCTCGATGACCGTCAGGTTGGGGATGAGCTTGTGGACGATGCCGGCCCAGGCCTTGTAGAGGGACTGGTCCCAGATGCTGCTGCCGAAGGTGTCGATGGAGAAGTGCTCCGACCGGCTGCGGATCATGGCGGAGCGTTCGTCGTAGATCCGTTGCCGGTGCTCGGCCTGAATAAGGTCGAGCTTGTGGACGAGGCAGAAGACGTGAGCGCCGGGGCTGTACTCCTTCAAGGCATTGATGATGGCGTTGTAGGTGTCGAGGTCGCGCTCGACCTCGCGGGACTCAATGTCGAAGACGTAGATGAGGACGGCAACGTCGGAGAAGATGTTGCCTCGTTGGGAAGCGAGGTAGGTCTCCATGAAGGCATCCTGTCTAGAATGAGGAGAGTTCGGTCAATGGATGGATTATTCACTGCATTGACTGCAAGACCCGAGGTGTTGGTTGACCTACCCTCCGCAATCCCAAAGGTTGAGCGTGAGGTTCCCCATGAACTTGACATGACTATGCTCGACATCAATGGTGGCACCCAGGCGTCGGACATCCTTGGCCACGTAGTTGCTGAAGATAATGGATCGCATAGAAGACTTTCCCGAGCCACTCTTTCCCATCAGGAGAACCTTTCTCTTCTTCTTGCGGAGATCCATATCTGGAGAGGGGGGGGGGGGGGATTGTTATCCCGTTAACCGTACCCCGCACTTAAAAGAAGGATAGAATCTCAACGGGAGAGATGAGGAAGGAGGAAAAGAGGGAGATAATAAATGGGAGAATATAGGGAATTTGTACCCATCTGAGAGTGGATCTTGCAAGGGGAAATTGTAAGTGGAGGTAGAGAGAGACTACAGAACGAAGGCTCACTCAAGCAAAGGGCCGGAGGAGTCGCTCAACCAGCCTCCCGCCCTCCTCTCAGCGTCATCGCTGTTTGGGTCAACAATGTTCCGAGTTCCGAAGGCCGCCCTGTCACGTGCAGTTGCACGCATCGGGTCATTTCATCTCAACACACGAGTTAATGCTAAGATGTATCATAAAGACTGGCCGGTATGTACAATTGACTATACGAGCACTTAAAAACTTTCTTTGCGACTTCTTTCGACTTCTTTCAATCCATTCCCCTGTAATGATTGATGTAGATGTACAGACCAATATCCATGTGTACATGAGAAGTAAAATATCAGAATCCCCCCCCCCCCCCAAATAGAAACAAATGTACAGCAGAAGCCAATTAGGTATAACATTCAAGGTGATCCAGTCCAGGATCGACCCGAATGGAGTTCTTCACACACAGAGAGAGGGAGAACAGTAAATATGTAACAAGGCGAAGGAATATCCGGTCATCAAAGTCATAAGCACTTCCACCAGCCGTGAGGTAATCAGCAAACGCAAGCTGGCGGAGTCAGGTATCCAGAAAATCAACGAGGTATGCGATCATTAGAAAACAGTGCCGTCCGAGCGGATCATGATGGGGGGCTCCTTCGTATTGGGCCTGGATACTTCGGCGATTTCGCGACCACCCTAGGGTTGATTATTAGCATGTTTCCACCTTTAATGGGTACCCGACATAGAATTCCAGCGTACCTTCCATGAGCCTGCCTCTAGCATCTGTGCAAGTGTCAACTGGTCTTCTCCTACCAGCCCCAGCTGCCCGTTGACTTCTGACAACAGCTCGTCGAGGAAGCCAACAGTGACGGCGCGCCACTCCACCACCACATCATCATCCGTCGAGAAAAGGGGCACAACCTCGACATTTGGCTGTCCTTTGATCTGAGCGTTCTCTCTGTATGCCGTGAGCCCGCGCTCCAGGTCTTTCTCCTTCAGACTCAACAGTCCCATATCAATCAGTAGGCCGCCGTTGCGATATTCCGGAAGACCCGTCAACAGTTCACTGCCTGCAAAGTGGATCTTCATCAATTTCGACATGGGAACCATGATGGAGTAGCAGAGCCATTGCGTCAATTTGTGGAACGGGACGATGTTCTCCCACGGCTGTGCGGGGGGCGATTTAGGCAGATCAGAGCAGGGCCATGCGTCTCCGATAGACAGGCCATCAATCTGCGTTCTCGAGGGGGGCCAGATCGGGGTGAGTCCATCCATGAGCACACTCCAGAGGGTGGTGATAGGAACGATCGGAACGGACGAGGCGAGTGTGGACGGGTGAGAAAGAAGGTAATCTGCAGATCGTAGGTCAGTTGGTGTTAGGCAGAAGACAGACCGGTCGGTCTTCGCTTACCTAGCAAGTTTCCAGGTCGCGCATCGACGCCGAAGAAGTCTTGGTTGTTCAAAGCTTCCGAAAGTCGGATCAACAGTCCAGCGCGACCTTGAATGCCGGCGAGCGGGTTCTGCTCCGAGTGTTGCATTCCTTTAGCAAGCACCTCCACGGTAATCTTCTTCAGGCCAGCGCCGTCCACCTGACAGGGTTCTGTGGGATCGCTGCTGAACAAGCCACTCTTGAACATTTCCAACGTAGCTACTGCCAAGCCTTCGCTGCGAGAGTAGATCTTGCCCGACTCCTTGGATTTGTAGGACCATCCGTTCCCTGCGCCCGCATCGAGAAGAACGGAGACGACAAACAAATCAATCAGCCGACGGGTTCGTTCTTGCGCGTCAATAGTGCTAGGCCAGGACTGAAGCAGTTGGTTGACGCGGGGTCGTCCACCCACGTCGAAGTGCTGCCAGCGTCCATGAGGAGGGATCGAGTCGTAGTCGGGAGCATAGTCTCTCTAGAAGGAACCAGCTTGGTTAGCACCGAATCCCGAGGCAAATACGACGGGGATCTCAAGTGCGTGGCGTTCTCTTACCTTGATGATAGATACAATGTACGACGCCGTTGCGATGAATTTGCTCATGTCCACATCGAAGTGGTTAAGTCGGTTTCTCTTCGCCTTGTTGAGAACGTATGAGCATCTTTCGCGGACGGCGTGGATGCTCCGCAGATAAGCTGCGGGATCCAGGGCTGGATCAGGCGGTTTGGCAATCGGCATCTCTGGTATGGAGGCAGGCAACCCGCTTCCTTTGTACCCCGGGGATCTCAACGAGGCACTCGAGGTCCGGGCACTGTTGGCGGAGGCAAAAGATTCCTGCTCATCCTTTTCACTCTGGATCGAGTTCTTAGAGTCCTTGCGCTTGAAAAGACCCATGGTGGGCGGAGAGTGTGTTGGTTAGAGGTAGAGGGGGTGGGCGGGTGGGCGAGATAGATGAAACACAAGAGGGAGAGCGTCCACAGCGCTCAGCGAAAAGGAAACTAAATGGCTTCCCGTGAAGAAGTCGAGGATGGTAAGAACCGAGGAGAAAGAACGATAAAGTTCCAAGGCTAGACTGAAGGTCTGGTGTCAGCAGCAGAAGTGCCGAACGCAAAATTGGGCACCCAGAAGAGAAAAAGGTCATAAACAGAACGAAGAGATCTGCAGTGGTTGCTCCTGGCGGGCGAGAGTGAGAATGAGATGGGAAAAGAAAGAGAGAGAGAGACTGGAGTGACGGAAAGGAAAAAAAGGACAGGCCCTTAGTTTTACATATGAGTTTACTTTTGGGATCTGGCTAGCTGTCTAGATTTTGCTTTTCTTCTTTTAATCTGAATGTGAATTTTATTTTTGGGGAGGAAGGAGGGGGGAGGGGAGAGGGGAGAGTGAATTATTTTTACATGAAATTACCATGTTTTCCTGCCATTCCTGTGCCTAGACGGATTTTTTTTTCTGGTATTTTTATTTTTATTTTTATTTTTGTTTTTGTTTTCTTTAATTTTTTTTTATTTTTGTTCATTTAGATCAAGGTTAGCAAATGGAGGGGGAAAAAGAGTCCAAACTACTACTAATAATAAGGAGGGGAAGTCATAATAACAATAATAACAATAATAACGACAACAGCAACAACAGTGTAATACAGAGCGGGGGCAGTCGAGGGGAAAGTCGAGCTTAGAGAACATTAGGAAAGGTTAGGAAACTAAGGGAAGTTAGGAACCTTAGCAGGGCTACTAAGACCTCCCTCATTGGCACAAAAGGACCCGGGTGAGTGAGCCACGGCCCTTTCTACGGCGCAGAACCAGTAACCTAGTCGAATCTCGGAGTCGGGAGGTGGAGAGCTTGGGAGTGGGAGGGGAGGATGTTTAAACCGGCTGCATGGCGGGTTTTAGTCTCTGATAGAGACAGATGGATTTTGGTTTCTCTAGTCAGTCTAGTCAGGGGGGGCCATACAGTGCATCCTGCATCCTGCATACTGCATACACACCAACTGTTAACCAAGTGCTGTACACATAACCTAACATAACATAACAGGAGGCAACCACCGACAGTCCACGGAGCTGATTACTGATAGGATAGGTGCTCGTTTATGTCAGTCGTTCAGTCAGACCTATTACTTCTGGCCCCGCAAACCAACCGGTGCTCTTAAAGACCTGAGCAGCTGAGGGGTCAATGAGTTTATCGAGATTATAGTGTGATTGATGACCATCGAGGCAACACATCCGAAGCTAGTGATGAGGTCAGAGCCGTCGCAATCTCACCCTGTCCTTTATCTAAAGTCCTAGACTTATACAGCACTTGTAGATTGTACACTGTGCAGTCAGTAAGTACTGTACTGTGTGCCCTAAATCTCCTGCGATGCATGGTAGCTGCATCCATCTCAGGGCCGCATACAGCTGCAATACCGGACTTTGCTGTATTATACAGTACCATCCTCTTCTGGTACCATACCATACCTAATCAATACCTCCTCGTCACGACAGGACCACCAACTATTCGTACTAACTTACTCAGTTGTCTCCAGCTTACTTTTTCAGGAGTCCCATGCGCCCCTCAAGGCAGCTATCAAGTGAGCCACTGTGTTGTGTGCCAATCTCCCAGTATGGGGCATCTGCTACAGAAATGGGGTCAAGAGGGACCGCAGGACGCAGGACGAAAAGGCCACCTTCAAGGCTTCAACCCCCCTCCCTCTCCCCTCCCCCCGTGCTACGGCCGACAGGCAAGTCGGCTGTCCTGGACCCAGATCGATGGAACCAATGAAAAGTAAGTTTAACTAGTGAGGATCAGAGAAAAAAAATGGTAGTCTAAGAGGAGCAGGGTGAGCACGGACAGACTCGCGCTCAAGGCTGCTCCGGGTCTTGGAGTCTTGTCTCTTGCGCCGCCGCCCTTTTCCCCCCCTCGCCCCATTCATGCGGATCTAGCAGTTTGCCGGCAGCCATTTTCTTTCCACTCACTGCACATCAAAAGACCTCGCTTATTTTCTGCTACCGTCTATCTTAACTTGATTAGGAATTACTACAATTGCATCTCACCTGAAAGAAAGGAAAAGAAAAAAAAAAAGTATCCAAAGACCCCGAAGTCCGCGGGCGGGGCAGAAAGCGTACATGGACATGAAGGCCCTGTCGTTGTTGTTGTTGTCGTTGTGGGTGTTGTTATTGTTGGCTTGGGGATTGAGGAGGCTTTGTTGACTGCTGCGAGCGATTTCGGTGGATCTTCAGGACATGCCCAATGACAATCCAAAGATACAACCCTACTCAAGTACCAGCTTCGAATTACCTTGCTGATTGTCCGAACCTAATTCGACTTGCGAAAGCTCCCTGGTATCCGCGCGGATAACAGCCGAGCCCACCTCATTTGGGTTTCTACCCTATCGGTTGTTTTCCCCTTCCCTCTGAGACGAAAACAGAACAATTACCAAGGAAGCGATGAAAAAGACGACAAAACAAGGGCGTGCGCCGAGAGCTCAGCCAAGAAGACAGGGGCTCTTCTCACGGTGTGGATGTCGGAGGCGGAATGCGATACACTGACTGTTTCGCACCATCGACTCAGTAAGTAGAATAAAGGTCCCTCCATTGCCAGATATGCGCATTTCCATCTCATAAGAGATTGACACACTACTCCAGCTTTGCCAGCGCTAGATGCCCCTAGCAATAATGACCAAGCTTTAGATCCACTGCCAGTGGCAAATCGGTCCCAGTCACCCCCGACACGGTGGCTGGAGACGGCACCAAGCGTCTGGGTATCAAGAAAGGCCTCTTGACTCTGACACATACACCTCTACGGAGTCCGTACTAGACTACGGATCTCCGACTTTTGCCACCTTTAGCACTCGGAATTATTATACTACTCATCTAAGCCTCAATCCCAGATCCGAATAAGCTACTCGAGTAGGTCGGAGGTAACTTATCGCCCCCTTCCGATGATCTGCTCATGTGACTCCGTTAGCAGCAACACGGAACTGCGATGCTCAGGGATTTCACCTATCTGCAGATTCCTTTCCCACCTGGTTCTCGGTAGCTCTAGTAGGCAATTGCGAGTCAGTGATCGAAGCCATTATAGGGGGATTCGCAAATAGTTTGCTCCTGCGGGGCGGCCGTTCCACATTATCTCGAGGATGATCATGGGGAAGAACCATATGACCCTCGAGTATTATTGAGCATTGACTACTTACTTGCCGAGGATCTAAGGCCCCTGCTTTCGACTAGGTATGGGCCATTCATCACTTGGCCTTTGCACCTGCTACTAAGGCCATTACATCATCTGAGCCGTCTCTCGCGTCCTTCACAGGTGAGTGCGAGTCGTCATGCTATCGCTAACTCACTATTGCAGTGGCACCTCGATAAGTGAGTCTAGTTCGGTACTAGCCTTTGTACTAGATCGGCAACTCTATTTGCATAGTCATCCACGAAATGCGCGCTCCGAACGGGGGCGATGCGCCGATGCGCGCGGCTATAGCTTGGAGTGAACCTTAATGACTCACTCTTCGGCCGTAACCTCCTCCACACCGGCGTCGATCTCAACCTGCAGCTTGTGTGCGAGATGTGCGTCTGTGACAACTACAAGCCTACACCTCATATTCGCGGCAATATGGCAATTCGACTGACATGTTTTGCTGGTGTGCAAATTGCCCGTGGGCTTTGCGCCATAGTACGTGGGTCGTCGCGTATATGAACCATGGATCGCAACAAGTCCAAGCGCCGCCAAAAGTTTGGAACGGGGATCTGCCTGGGGCAACACTGGGAGCAGCTCTTGACCGTGCTCGTGTGTGTGGAACACATATCCACTGACAGTGGATACTGGATGTCAATGCCCGTGTGAGGCTGTCCCGCTGCAGATGAGCCGATAAGTCTCCTGCAGGCTGCAGAGCGGGACTCACCTCAACTCTGGTGCCCAAACCTGTCAATGATCCAAGAGGCTGACTAGCGACACGCTGCCGCTTCAAGTGTCAGAGGCGGAGGACTCGTAGCGCACTTGGGTCACTGCTTGGCTCGACTGCATTCAATCAGATATCGATGTTTCGGCGCTACAAGCTGTTGATGTGGGGAGATGAGATCTGCGAGCCCGTTGATGAGGCTACCATTCGTGACAAAGACGTACTGTACCAGAGTAGGTATGTCGTACACTTGCTTCATATCTTCCCCACAGATTAGGGTGCATTGTGATAGGTTTACCAACTGATAAGTGCCGCTTGATCGGACGATCATCGGTACATCCATGCGTGTTTATGTGGTCACCTTTGTCACGTCAAAACGCCCAAGCCACCGCCGTGAGCTCGAGCTAGAAGGTGTCTATTGCGATAAACATCCCCGCATTGGGGTCTTTGTTGGCGAAACCTTTAGGTGGTCTGATGTTCTATAGATCCGTAGGACTTTCCTCAGTGTCTTCTGACATTTCTACTTTGGGGCCACAACATGTATGGCTTGCAGGCACATGAAAGCAGCGCCTCGTCCAACTCTTGGCCTTTACTCGCCATGTACCATGCAGCATGCATTGCGCATGTTCTACTATCATGGGGGCCGTGATTCCAGCCCGGTGCGCAGGATTACTCGTGCTCAGACAGCTCAAAGTACATACAAAGCAGGTACTGTACCATACCGCCCGCATTTGACCCTGTTTTCAGCACCGACGGTACAATACTATACCATAACTTACCAAGGAGGGAGAAACGACAACGGGCTGATGGTAAACTCAGTATGGTAAATTCATTAGCCGATAGATAAACTTCCCCATTGCATTCTCGCGCGGTGCCTCTAGTCATAACACCGAGCTTGTCTCTTAATTTCTGTTGTCTTGTGCGGCCAGAAGTATCATCCTCGCTTGTCGTTTTGATTCCCTGATCGGGGAATGTCATCAATCCCCCTCAGCGGCCCCACCTCAGGGTACAGTACAGTACCTCAGGCTGCCAACTCAAGTGGGATAAAGCATTGGACCGCACACACCCACAACATGTGGCTGACAGGCTATACTAATTGCGCCCTGGTACCCAACCTCTCTACCTCGGCCAAGGACATGCATCGTACGACACTGTGGACAGCTTCTCGGTTATGACGCATAACTCAGGCTAGCTGGCTCAATGGCTTCCGATCAGAGACACATGCTTGACCTCTTATAGCAAAAGACACTGCATAAGCATGTACATACTAGACAGTAGACCCCTCCTAGCCTCCTTCCCTTTCACCATGCGCCGGCGTGCCGCTAACGCGGAGGGACACGGTCCTGGCCGTCCTGCTGGGTCTGCCGGGTTGCATGCTTAAGGTTCATCAAGTAGGCGTCTCAGGATACGGGTACGTACAATGTGTTCCGTCTCGTATTTACATAATTGTACATACGTATGCTTGTGCTCTAGCCAAGGCTGCTACTGAGAACGTTATATGCTAGATATCAGTGACTACGTGCGTAGTGCGGTGACCTGCGCGATTAGACCCTTGAGGCCCCTCAAACCGAGAACCTCGAACAACAACCATCGTAGGACTGTCTCTTATACATCGTTCCCCGAGTATCTTTGGCACAAAGCGTCTGGTTCACTCCAGCCCACCCTCGAACCTCAACCTCGAACCTGTCTCAGAAAAATCGAAACACAAACAAACAAAAGAGAAACGACAAAAAGAGAAAAAGCAATCGACAGCGCTGGGATTCGAACCCAGGCACCCGAGGGTATGAGATTACTAGATCTGTTGCGAATAGCATGCAGATATTCAAGTCTCACGCGTTAACCACTCCGCCACACTGCCATGACTTGGAAAAAGTGGGACCCGAAAGGACGCCATACAGTATACGCCTCGCCGACGCATCACGTGATACGGAACAGCTATACAACTTTCCGTATCAGTTGAACCTTATTGACCAAAAGCATATCCCAGTCATTTGTTCTCGGCTGTAGATTCCCAAGAGCCCGTAGCTGTGCAGCAGCTTCTTGTTTACCCTTGGAAGAATGGTCAAGATCCCCACAAACTCTATTCGTCGTCGTGCTTATCCACTCCGGGTATGATCACCGCTGTCGATTATTGGCAATGCGCGTCCCTCATCTAAATGGCTCCTGCCAATTTCGATGGATGGTAAATCTGGAACATAGGGTACCTTGCTAGTACTCATTAGTTACTTTGTATGCCAACTGTTGTGAGCTGCCATGTGAAGACGTTGAAGTTCCAGCCTTGCTACTCGTCAGCTGGTCGATCGTTCGAAGCAACCCTTCCATGATGACGACCAAACACATTAGTTCTATTCCACAGATCTCAAGGCAAGCCAGCCTTATAATTCAGACCTCCATTTCGCATGCACAGTGGAAATCTTTCCGCACAAGACTGCGAGTCTCGTGCATGCAGTACTCAACTCAAAGCGCGGAGATGAGCTTCATCGCATCTCCGTCGGCACTAGACCAGAGAACAGCCACCACCCACGGAGCAGCCTGGAAACCTCTGGTCAGTCTATCTTACCATTACGAGACCTCTCGCCTAGAACTTCCCTGCACTGAGGGTTGATGATGCTGATGGAGTCACCGAGAGCCACCGGGACCCATCCATCCAGACCAGCTCTGCCCAATCCCGGCCAGGGAATATGGAAGGTATGGACGGTGTCGGGAAAAGCTAGGGTTGGGATGCTAATCCGGGCTGGCGTTTCCACTTTCTCCAGAACGAATTGCCGCGCTGTTTGGTTGGCGTCAGACCCGATTGCAAACCTACGGACCGTGTCATTCTCCCATTCGGGACGTCAGGATGTCCTTTCTCCACCGCTGGAAGGAATCCACTGCTGATCTGCCTTCCTTTGTGCCGTGACAGATGGGCTTCCCCTGCCGCTCCCAAGGGTCAGACCCGGAATCCCTGGTCAAGTCCTTTTCGGGACTGTCTGTGGCCTTGATCAAAGCGAAGAATGAGAACGGCTGTGGCATCCATCGTCTGTCCTTTGCTGATATCCTCAAGATGCCGCATGGCGGACTGATTGGATACTCTGCCTAGGCAGTATGAGTATGAGTCCAAGGGGATGCTCAGGTGCTCGTCCAATGCGTTGAACACGATGGTACTTGTAGAAGACCTGATGTCTCTTCTGCTCTCTAGAATAATCCGCCAGATGAGAGCTTTTCCAATCTAGCGGAAAGCTCCGAGACAGTCAACAAACCCTGCAAAGCCCAATCCAGCCAAAAATCAATGCCGAAGCCTCTGAGACTCAAAACCCGATGTCGTCGATGAAGGGGTTAGTAAGCGGCTGCACACACCGGAGATTCATCGTCACGTGGGAATGATCACACAGCCACATCGTGCCAACCACGTCAGCCACGTCAGCCACGGTGACGATCACGGCCCTCCAACAGCCAGGGGAAGCGACCGCCGCGGACAAGGCCATCGAACTACTCCCTACCTTACCTACCCTTCTGACTCGGAAATTGGACGCAGGACCTGACACTCTTCCATTGAACCTACTGTCACCTTACATTGCGGCTCAGGTCCACAAGCTCGCCTCATTGCCGACTCAGTCAACTCAATCCGCCCTCCCCCGCATGGTATACTACGTTAATGGTGGGTTCACCCTCACCTGCGAATTACTTCTCCGATCCTAATCTCAAGCGCCTAGGCACAAGCTCATTGATACCTCACAACCCTATCACAATGGATGACTTAAGCGGTCTCAACTGGGCGTCCACCTCGTCCAACAATGACGCCCGGAAGCCTCCCCCCATGAGCTCGGGTTCTTTATTCCAGAATGTCCGTCGCAGTGAACTATCTGGCCGATCCACGCCGTTATCTGCATCCTCCGGCCCCTCCGGCCCCTCCAATCCTCCGTCAAAGTCCGCGACACCGGATAAAGACAGCTTTGCAAACCTGGTCTCCTTCAATGCAGCTACCGCCAACAAGAATCTCTCGCTTCTCGAACGACAAAAGCAACTGGAGGCGGACAGGGCCAGAAAGGAGGCGGAGAAGAGATCCCACTTCGAAACTCAGTATGGGGGACAGAACAACCAGTTCTGGGACAGCCTCGAGCGAGGTGGAACCCCGACAGCCTCCGCGCCTTCCACGGCCCCGGGACAGCAGAGCGCAGCCTCGGCCGACGAAGATGATATACTTGCCGCCTTCAATGCATCCGCACCTGTAGATGCCTCCACACACTTTCCTGTACCTAGTGCAAGCCCTGCGCCGCGGGTCGGAGCGGGCTCCTCTCAGGCTAGCCATAACGGAGCAGGCGCACCGCTGCACGGGGGCAGCAGTATGGCTTTCCCCGATGACGACGACGATCCGTTTGGCCTCAACCAGTTGAAACCCAAGCCCGCGCAACCGTCGCAGCAGCCTCAAGCTGCTAACGATGATGACGATTTCCTCGGTTTGTTGGGTAAGCCAGTCTCCGAGCTCCCTCGGCCAGAGCCTCCCGCCAAACCACCTACGCCCCTGGAAACCGAGCATGATGCTCCATCCCCAAGACCTAGAAGTGGGATTGACCACGCCATCGCGGAGCTTGTCGATATGGGATTCCCTGCGGATAAAGCCAGCCAGGCTCTGCGCATGACAACATCTGGTACGGATGTTCAGGCGGCTGTCGGCTTGCTTCTCACTCAAGCGCATGAAGAATCCCGTCAGAAGTCCCGGAATAGGCCGTCCGGGGGTGACCGCGCCCCCGCCCATCCTGAGAGAAGCAGAGAACGGAATGAAAGACCTAGCCGCGATGTGCCCTCATGGATGCAACAAGAGCGGTCCCGTAGCAACAACCGCTCGCCAATGTCCGCGGAAAAGGACCCGTCTCAAATCGCAGCCGCATTTGGAAATAACCTGTTAAAGACGGCGAACTCTCTGTGGAAGACTGGCAACAAAAAGCTGCAGCAGGTGGTCCAAGACTTCAATGTGGATCACGATCCCAGTCAGCCACGATGGATGAGGGAGACATCCGCTCATGCTCATGGCGAACCTTCTGGTGATCGTCCCCGAGAAGATCGTTCGCGGACTTCTACGCAGCCCCAGGCACGACCTGAGAACATGACCGATGAAGCGTTGTTGCTCGAGTCAGGAGGACCAGTTCGTTCGTCACGAAACCCTGCACGGTCGAATGATGGGCCTGCGCCTCGCACGGCCAGCACCAACGTCAGGCGACAACCGTCTCCACCAAGAGAACGGCCTGTACAACAGCCTGTATTCATGCGGCAGACACCGAGGGCTGAAATGAGGGACTCTAGATCCCGGTTGACCAAGTCTGCTGTGGAGGAGCAGTCGGCGCAGGCTTACGTTAGCCCCGCAAGAAGAAAGCGTCCTGTCGCTCAGTCTCCTGCCCCGGAGCCGAAAGTCGACCTGTTTGATTCCGCAGCTCCAGCTCCACCGCCGAAGCCGAAGCCCTCACCTGCACCTGCTCAAGCCTCGCGTTCCTCCACACCATCCAAAACCCTACCCACCCGACCGAAGGCTCCGCCACGATCAATCCCTCCAGTGTCGCCACAAGCCCTTTCTTCGACCCATCGCCAACGAGAAATCGCCGCGGATGCTTACAAGCGGGGCGACTATGGTGCCGCACATGAAGCCTTCTCCGCAGCTCTGACACCTTTGCCGGACCGACATCCCATTACCATCCTCATCCGCAGCAATCGCGCCATGACGGCCTTGAAGGTGGGTGAGCCCAAGGTGGCAATCGGAGACGCGGACACCATGTTGGAGTTGATTGGCCCAATGAAGGGTGAAGGCGAGAGCATCGACCTCTGTAATGGTGAGGCCGCCAAGCCGATGAAGGACTTCTTCGGCAAGGCGTTGATGCGTAAGGCCGAGGCGTTGGAACAGTTAGAGAGATGGACTGAGGCCGCACAGACCTGGAAGCTGGCGGTCGAAAGTGGACACGGAGGCAGCACCAGTATTCAAGGTCGCAATCGCTGCGAAAAGGCCGCCGGTATCAGCAAGCCCGCCGCCAAGCCCGCCGCGCCTGCCCGACGCCCACCGGCTCCTACGCCGAAGACAGCATCTGCGCTGGATGATCTGCAAGGTTCATCTGGCGCCTCATCAGAAGCCGTCACTCGCTTGCGAGCAGCCAACCAGGCTGCCGAGCGCGCCGACGAGGAGAAATTCGCCCTTTCGGAGAGCGTCGATGCCAAGCTGGCGGCATGGAAGGGCGGGAAGCAGGACAACCTCCGGGCCTTGCTGGGCAGTCTGGACAGCGTGCTCTGGCCCGAGGCCGGCTGGAAGAAGGTCAACATGTCCGAACTCATCTTGCCCAACAAGGTCAAGATCCAGTACATGAAGGGCATTGCCAAAGTGCATCCCGATAAGGTGTGTAAAATCCTGATGCCCATGCTCATAATCGTCTTCAGCATTGACACTCTTCATCTAGATCCCCACAGACGCCACGACAGAGCAGCGGATGATCGCCGGGGCAGTCTTCGGCGCCCTGAATGATGCTTGGGACAAGTTCAAGAAAGAAAACAACCTCTAAACAAACCGACCAATCGATACGAAACGTCGGTTTCTCCCCGACATTTTCCCATCGTATCTTTTCTCAGGATCGCGTTTTCTTCTTGTCTCCTCGTCATCCTAGCCTCAGACCCTTTTTTCGAACCCCTGCTTGGGGGGGGGGGCTAAGTGATCTCATGCTTTACACACACATAAATTCATATTCTCCGACTTTCTCCTTGTACTCTGATGGCTGCTGACGACGTGTGCACAAACGAAGCCCATGAATTCTCTTCCCCATATTAGCATTCACATTTCTCTTGTACATAGATAGAACTAGAAAGGGGGCTGTTGAGCATTCATCCCCTCGTGCGTGATTATTCTCTGATGGTATGAGATGACACATTGTAGACCTTTCTCAAATGGATTCGATCGATCCCCCACACGCAGGAAGCCGAGCACACACACTCACTCTCTTGCGGCATGGCCGGGCTTGACATACGCCTCTGCAGTATCCGTGTACATCGAGAATCTACATCCCTGGTGGGGTTGAAGGACAGGATTACATCGCGTCTGCGGAGATAAACCCTAATAATCTCTTTTGTGGGTGAGCAGGAAAATTAACTAAGCTTCTTCAGAGGCATCGGCTGGCTTTTCTCCTACGACCTCCTCTTCCTGCTGCTTCTGCTGCAGCTGTTCCTCGGCTTCCTCGCGCTGCAGTTGTTCGCGCTTGAGCTGCTTCCTTCCCTTGGGCTTGTCGGCTTGCATGGGCTGATCGACGCGGTGCGGGGGCCACTTGTCGCGGCATCTCCGCTCGTCTTCCGCGGTCCACTCGCGCGGCAGGACGGCGAAGACCAGGTAGGACGTGTGGGTCTTGAGGTTATCTTCGGTGCGGTGGACCAGACGGCCTTGTTTGTACAGCGGGATGTTGCTGGGTGAGGGCGCAGCGTGGTCCTCCTTTGCGGGGACGGCCGCTGCCGCCGCAGCTCCCGAGGACGCCGGCACAGGGGTGGTGGTGGCGGCGGTGCTATTATTAATGTTATCCTCATCCTCCAGCTGCTGCTGCAACTCGCGATACTTCCGGGAGTTCTCCTCGACGTGGCGCATCTTGGAGACGGCCTCGTCGACGGACTTGGGGAAGACGACGGCGCCGCGCACCTTCTCGTACTCCAGCCCGACCTTCTCGCGCTTCACGTCGATCCGGTGGTTGTTGACCTCCACCATCGAGATGTCCAGCCACGACAGCTGCCGCAGCACGCTCACCGTCCGCTGCACCTGCTCCAGGCAGGGGGAGAATGTACACAGGTAGACCGGCGACGTCGGGTCCAGCGGCGACTCGGCGCCGGACGCCGGGTGCCGCACCAGGTGCTTCAGCGCGAGCCAGGGCGCTGGCAAGTCCAGAAACACCGCGTTGGCCTTGGGGGACGTCCCCGTCTGCGCGTCCCCCACGAGGAACCCGTCCTGGTAGACGTCCCGGTGCGTGACGTGCACCAGTCCCTCCAGGCCGTGCTCCTTCAGCTCTTGCCGCACCTTGCCCACACGCTGTTCGTGGAATTCAAAGCTGGAGACTTGGCCGAGTCGTTTCTGGTTGGGGGGTGAAGGGGGGGATGAGGATGAAGGGGGTGGTGGTGCATCGGCGCTCTGGTTTGTTGACGTCGGCGTCGTGGGGTATCCGTTGAAGACCGCGCGGACGGCCGCGTGCGTGAACGAGCCACTGCCCGCGCCGGCCTCGATGATCGAGCTGCCCGGCCGGGCGCGCAGCCGGTGCAGGATGTAGCTGTAGTCCGGGGTGTAGACGACCTGGGTGCGGTGCGGCAGGGACATGGTCCACAGCTCCGGGGTCGGGTAGACGAGGTGCAGGAATCCGCTGGCCGCGGCGACGGCGGCCTGCGGGGAGGCCGAGTGGCTGTCGTCCCCCTCCGCCGCCGGCGTACTCGCGGCGGAATCATTGGTGAGCTCGTCCGCTTTGCGCTTCAGCTGCCGGTTCTTCTTCTGCGGGCCGCGGCCGCGGCGCGACCCCGTGTCGACCTTCGAGGCGATGATCTGCGACCCCCACGGTTGGCCGGTGAGGGTGGTGTGCGGGAAGGAGCCGAAGCGCGTGGTCGTCACTTTCCCTTCCTTGTAGCCGGCGTTGTCTTCGTCGTGGAGCTGGAGCACGGTCGGGATGGCTTGGTCGCGGCGGAGGTGGAGGAGGGCCAGCTGGTTGAGCTGCGAGTGGGAGCCCGGGGTGAGAAACGGTGAGGCCATTCTTTTTGAAAGTGTGGGCCGCCGCGTGGGAGCGAGGGTTGGCCTTGGAGTATGTTGGAAGTGTCCCCGGCGCCAAATTGGGCTGCTTTCTTCGACTTCTTCAACTGCTTCAACTTCTTCAACTTCTTCAACTTTCTTTTGCGACGGCGGCGTCACTTGCTGAAGATCCTCCGCTCTAGCCTCGATTCGGAGACTGGCTTAGGGCTTAGGGTTGTCGATGTGTAAGGCGGTGAAGAGTGTCGGGGAGACAGCGCTGATTGGCTACCTTCGGCTGTCGGCTGTTTCTACGGAGTACTTACGTTCCTATAGTTCACTGCAGAGACTCTTGAGAATGGGATACATAGTCATTCAATTTTTGCACGTTATGGACTCAGTACTGCTCTTCATCTCTTTTATCTCTTGATCTCTAGGAATTGCTCCAAAGGGGAGGCGCTGTGATCTCGGATGTTTCCATCCATCCATCATCTGATGAGCTCGTCCATCACATGCTGCAATCCCCCGAGAGGGTCAATAACATGGTGAATATCTGGGGTCAGGAAACTAGAAACAACATACGAAGAACGTACAGAGTCAAGAAGGTCTGGCTTAATCTCACATTTCGTGGTAATGAATCCAAACCTGGTCATACATCCATGCTCACTGGCCTTTGTCTAGGCATGGCGCCTCTTTCTATTACTGATCATTAACCTCGGGGCGCTGAACCTCGGCAACTTGGCTCCTCCCCACAAGGGGTCTCGTCTCCAACCGTCTTAACGCGGCTTTCCCCAGACTATCCCCAACTCTCCAGGACCGTTAAACTTCAGATTTCCCTAGAAGGTAGAGACTTTCGATTACAGTTCTTACTCGGTGTTTTATCGCTCCACTTGAAACCATCGCAACGTTTACCCATAATACTCTAGCCGGTGGAATCGGTCGGCCGTCAACATGCCTTTCAACACCCTGCTTACGAGGAAACTAGGCATCACAGGTACGTCCAGAATCCACAGACTGGCTGGCTCACCTGCTGATTATCTCAAGTCCCGGTTGTCCAGGGAGGTATGCAATGGGTCGGATACGCTGAGCTCGCGGCAGCAGTCAGCAACGCAGGCGGTTTGGGAATTGTACGTATCCGCGATCGCCTCTGAACCAGAATACGAAATCAAGAAAGCCTAACCCATGGAGAACCTACTCAGCTCACTGCCCTCACACAACCCACCCCCGAAGACCTGCGCAAGGAAATTCGCAAATGTCGAGCCATGACCAAGAATCCCTTCGGCGTCAACCTGACCCTGCTCCCCGCCCTCGTTCCTCCCGACTACGCGGCCTACGCCCAGGTGATCATCGACGAGGGGATCAAGATCGTCGAGACAGCCGGAAACAACCCGGGCCCCGTGATCCAGCAGCTCAAGAAAGCCAACATCATCGTCCTGCACAAGTGCACGACGATCCGCCACGCCAAGTCCGCCATCAAGCTGGGCGTCGACTTTCTGTCGATCGACGGATTCGAGTGTGCGGGCCACGTCGGCGAGAACGACATCACCAACTTCATCCTCCTCAGCCGCGCGCGCCAGGAGCTCAAGGTGCCGTTCATCGCCTCCGGGGGATTCGCCGACGGACAGGGGCTGGCGGCGGCGATGGCCCTCGGCGCGGAGGGCATCAACATGGGAACCCGGTTCATGTGCACGGTCGAGGCGCCCATCCATAACAACGTGAAGGAGGCGATCGTCAAGGCGGATGAGACGGACACGGCGTTGGTGATGCGCCGCTGGACGAACACGACCCGTTTGTTCGGGAATAAGGTCTCCAAGGAGGCTCTGAAGGTGGAGCGGGAAAGCAAGACGGGCGAATTCAGCGAGATCGCCCCCTTCGTGAGTGGCAAGCGGGGCCGTGAGGTGTTCCTGACCGGTGATGTCGATTTCGGGGTATGTTGTTCCTCTGCTACCGTCCCTCCTTGCGGGTCTCAGACCCCCCGGCTAACTTTATCTTAGGTGTGGACTGCCGGCCAAGTCATCGGGATGATCCATGACATCCCGACATGTGCTGAGCTTCTGGAGCGAATCGAGAAGGAGGCCGTCCAGGCGTTGGATCGGGTGAAGTCGTTGCACACAGCACCGGTACAGAGCAAGCTGTAGAAGAGTCAACCTGGTTGCTGACTGGCCGGATGGAGAGGGTCACTACAGTACACGCGGGACATGTATTACGTTTAGGTCTTTATGCAAGGAATTAGACATCATCTCCAAGATTCTTTTTGTATACACGCGCGCTCACCCTTGCAGAGCAAAGAGCTCTGTCAAGGGATATCGGAGGAAGGGGTGATGGTGAACGAAACAAAGTGTCTCGCCCTCGCCCATCGCCTTGCAACCAGTCAGAAGTAGCACGATGATGCCAAAACGTTCTCCTTGATCATCATCACCAGCGTGGACATGATGCATACCCCGCGATGATGCAGCTGGACCCCCTCCTTACATGCCCCTCCCAATACGCCGGAGAATTGCGATCGCCAGTGTACTGTACTCCGCATCAACATCATTGTGTTATCGTGGAAGCACTAACCTAGCGAATAAGAGCTTCTGGCGCGTGTACCGGGCAACGAGGTTACGAAGCAGCTCCCCTGAATCGCCGCTCAGGACACTGTACGGCTATCATCATCTTATCCTGGTCTTACCCTCCTTGCAGCTATTCCGTCAAGGTCTAGACTGAACGCTGTGATACTTTGCTCTATGTCCGGCTCGCTGACTAGAAGCTTCTAGGGATTGATCGTCTACTCGCAATAAAGCCTCTTCGGTATCTGAGACCGGCGAACTAGCCTCCACGTATAGTGGCATCACGATGCTATCACCACCTTACCACCAAACGCAGCAGGGGTATACTCTACTCGACAAGATCTGTATCTCGCCTATCGCAATCACGCACTCATACAGGGGTCAAAGCAAGACTTACCCTGGTCTTCAGCACCCCCCAGCGTCCGTTCATCTAAACGAATTCAATAAATCTTCCTACGACCTCAAGACAAAAGATCGAGTTTGGAACTTTATCCCCTTCCCCTCCCCCCCTGTCCCGTGAGTATCGATCCCCCCAACAACGACCACAAAACAAAGAAAGGAGAAACCCAAATTCAGCGTTGAAACAACAAGTCCTAGCGGGGTAGGTAACCAGAAAGAATCACGGAGGGAATATTTCAACAGCACGCATCCCCCGACCCGGAATCATCATGACAAGATCAAGCGTGAACTCCGACCTCATGCGTCGACCCCGAAACATGGGGGTACTCTCCACGCTGTTACTGCCCTGCATCCAGGTGCGCAAGCTGCGCCGCTCGCGCCGCCAACGTGATCACCACACCTCGTGGTCCTGCGCGGGAATCGCCGAGTTCGAGGAGCAGCAGCAGCAGCAGCAACAACAAGGAACCACCGAGAAAGACCTTCATACCCACGATACCGAGGGGTACACGGAGCTGGCGAGCTTCCCCGAGAAACCACAGCCCGCCGCGACAACGACCACAACACCGTTGACGCACACGAAGTCCATCCGCCTGGTCAGCTGTGCGGACTCGGAATGCTCGACGCTGGGGCCGGACGAGGGCCCGATTCTGGAGAAAGATGACGAGGCCGGAGACCAGGAGAGAGAGGACTTCCTGGCGGGCAAGGAGAGCGCTCCCGAGAGTGGGAACGCGACGCTGTTGTCGCTGTTGTCGGATGAGGAGACGGATGTGGAACAGTCGGGTGGTGGTAGTCCGCCGCTGGTGCAGAAGGTCATTGCCATGGAGGTGGTCTCGTCCTCGCGGCCGCCGTCGCGCGCTGGTGCTGGCGCAGGCACCCCCAAAAGCAAAGATGATCTCGATCTGGAGCTGGCGAGTCGGCAGGTCCCCAAGATTCAGGAAGACCGACGGCCCCGGCCGGCGAGTATGCAGGTTCACTCGACCGGGGGCGCATTGAAGCTTCCGGAGATCAAGAGCCGGGTGATCGACGATATTCCGGAGGATGTTGAGGAGGAGGTCGTTGGCGTCAGGGTCCGGCCGTTGAGACAGGCGGCGAGGAAGAGTGCTCTTCTGAAACCGACGGTGGTCGAGGGAGAGGACGACGACGACGACGACGACGACGACGACGAGAACGATGACAAGAAACGGTCCTCAACCTGGCGCCTCAGTCAACGCAAGTCCATGATCGAGCTGTTCAGTCTGCTTCAATCCACCGCAGCCGCCGTCGCCGCGGCCCCAAAGTTCTCGAACCTCAAACTGCCTCTCACGCAGAGGTCGCCCTTCCGCTTCTCCACCAACGCCGTCGTCGATGCATCGCCCTCCTCGGTATACTCCACAGCCGCCACTACCACAACGTCACCATCTCGACCAGCGACCGCAGCGACAGCAGCAGCAGCAGCAGCAGCAGCAGCAGCAGCAGCACCCAGCACCCCACCCAAGAAAGCCAAACTCCCCTCCCCACCACCGCCCACACCTCCCCCGAAATCCCCCAAACAACTCCTCCAACAACGGCCCCTCCCGCAAACCCCGCAACGCAAGCCCCGACACAGCAGCTTCCAAGAGCAAATCTCACCTCCCACGGCCACCTACCGCACCAGTCCAAGCCCAAGTCCCACCAAGAAACAACGCCGAATGGGCACCGTCCTGTTCCCACTGACCTCCTCCTTCCGTCCCACCAGCGGTGGGAACAACAACCCAGGCGTGACGACGACGACGACGACAACGACAACCATCCCCGAGTCCCCATCCCGTCGTCAGTCCCGTCACCCTCACCAAAAACAAAATCAGAATGCACAGACTCTTTTTTGCTAGCCACGGAGTTCGGGGTACCGGTACAGGGGTTCGGGTTATGTTTTGTTGGTGTCTATGGTCTCTCTCGGGGGGGTTGGTAGCTTCTTTTTTGAGGGCGTTGTTCTTCTGCTTCTGAGGCACCAATCCTCTTGGGGAGGCTTTGGGCTTTGGATATGAATGTAAACTACATAATCCCCCCGGCGTCACTTTTGATCTTTTGGGGGTTTCTCTTCTCGGGTGTATTTATTTGGTCCGGGATGTTGGATCATCGGTTCTTGTGGGGGCGTTTACTTTCTTTCTTTCTTTCTTTCTTTCTTTCTTTCTCTCTTTGTGTGTGTGTTGATTACGGGGTTAATTGGTATCTGTTGATAAGGTTGTGGGGGTTTTCCTCCGAGGGTCTAGCTAGATCTGTATGAGGTACTGAGATCTTCGGGATGGGATTCTAACGCATCCACTACCGAGTGATCACCTAGCTTACTTACTTTTGGGTCTGAAAATGCACGAGACGGAACTGAGTTCAAGAGCGAAGAAGAACAGAAGGGGGGGGGATGACGGGAGCTCCGAGTATAAGCACCATCATGCGTTTTCTTTTGTATACTCATACGACATACGACATACGACATACACCTCTTTGTATCAATGGCATGCAGGTAGCTTGGGGTCATTCAGGTATTGAATCGAAGATAACTTCTTTCGGGGTGTACTTATTCTCTTTCTCTTCGGGAGCCGTGGTTATGGATAAGGAGAATGGATTATGACTGAATGGCACTTGGCACTTCATACTGTCTGCTGGCATTGTCTACGGTCGACTGTCGACTGTCGACTGTCTACCATCGACTGTCTAGTGCATAATCGACTCCGAGGAGTGGTTGAGTTCCTCTGTGTTTCAATGCGCCTGCTACCGCTATGTATGAGAACAGCCGCATGTATGGTATGCTGATATGCCCTCGGAATCTCGGTTATCTCAGTAGATTTAGTCTATGCAGGCAGGGTGCAGGTTTGTAGTAACGGGGGGAGCGATCCTAAGAATAAGAGGGGTGGGCAGACAGGTTTTGTCTGCTGGGGGCATGTAAGATGAGATCTTGGGTTCTTGGATCGTGGTTCTGGGTGTGATTCTTGATAGAGGGTTAAAGTACGACTGCTGCTAATGTTCGGCTACTATGTAGTTAGGATTAGGGGCAATTGGGGCGGGGGGGTTCATTGAGGGCACGACTTAGTTGTGAACGGCGGGTAGGAGGTAGATAAGGCCATTGGTCGTCTGGGAAGCTTACCAGTCAAGAGTGCCCGCTTTACCCATGTGGTTACTTCACGTCAACTGAAGTCAGTGCTTAAGCGGGTGTTGCACTGAGGGCTGAGGGCAGTAGCGTATGAAAACAGCAGGATGAGAGGAAGAGTTGGAATGACGATGTTTAGGATCAAGCATATTTGCAAAGTAGAAATGCCAGCCTAAGGCACAAGGTCCCCAATGTGCCATCGAGAATTACAAGCTACAGAATACCAGTCTGCGAAAAATCAGGTAAAGCAAGTCTAATGCATTGAAGCTATATGCCACGACACCAGCGCTGGCGCACCGGGAAATGCACAACTAATGATCAGATCATAGTTTCAAAAAGCAAAAACACGAATCTTTCTCCGAGAGTGCCACAGGCGCACAATTAGTGGTACATCATCTGCTCAAAACAGGAATAGATCCATAATCCTCCTAGACCGGAGGATCACAGGGCGACCTGTTTTCCTAGCCCCGATCCATGGCCCCGAAGGGCTTGACGAATAGTGGCCATAAGCAAAGACTGAACCCGCTTACAAGATAGAGCCGAGGGCAATGCAGGGCAGGGCAACGCCGATGAGAGAGTCGCTCTGCGGAGGAGGTTAGCAGGTGATAGTTTGGGAGGAAGTGGCAGGCACGTACGGCGTCCGAGGGGGAGCCCTGGCAACAGGCGATGTTCTGCTTGCACTGCTGGTTGACAAGATCCTGGAGAGGGATGCCAATGATGGGGACTGCGGATCGTTAGTGAGGGGCTGGTGCGAACATTGATGGAAAACGTACTCTGGAGATCGAGCTTGGAGCACTGGTCGAAGAGACCGAGACCCTCAGAGCCGGAACCAGTACCAAGGAGGTTGCCGAGGGTACCAGCGAGGATACCGTCGTCGATGGTGGTGGTGTCACCGGCGTAGGTGGCCTTGTTGCAGCAAGACAGCTGAGCCTGGTCACCACACTTGGCGGAGGCCTGCTTGACGGTCACATCGTCAGGGACGGGGAAGCGGACATCGCTGTTGCCCTTGTTGCCGTTGCCGTTGCCGACACCAAGGTTGCCGTTGGCTTCGGGCTTGCTGGGCATGGCAGCGACGGTGGCGGCGAGAGCCAGAACAGCGGCGGAGATGGTGAACTTCATTGTGACTGTGGGGTTGGATTTGAACGAGAGAGTGAACTCGGAATGAATGGTATGTATAAAGAACGGTAGGTCTGTAAGAGACTGGAGAGAGAGAATGCTCAAGAGAGTGATTGTGTGATGATGAAAAGAATCGACTGGAGGGCAACTTTCACCACCCTTATATAGACTTTCGTGGAGGCCCTCGAGCTCCGAGTCCATACACTGTCGCGCCTAACAAACCGCAAACCGGTGTTTTGCACACCAGCAGCATCCTCAGCATCCTCCTCAGCATGCCCCCTTGTGGAATGCAGCATGCAAGGACGGTGTTCGCCGTCCTCGTTCCTGAGGATCCATACTTGGCTCGGTCCCACTCCCTCGGCCAAGAGCTCCCTCTGCTGCAGCGGACGGTATGGATCTGCCCCAAGCCATCGCCTCTGATTGTTTGCTTGCAGCCAGTCCGTACTGCCGCGCTGCTTTCCAGCTCAGACACAGCACCTTTGCAGGATAGCTGGGGTACATTGCAGCGAGGCTAATGTCTCATTCCTCCTACCCATTCAAGACGATCGTCACACAATCTCTTGCCAGCACACGTTCGAAGGTGCATGCTTATGCATTTCCCTCTCGTCAAGATTCTTTCCCTTCCTTGTTGACTCACCCAAGCAACCACCCAGACCTGCACTCCAAACAATACCTCGAGAACAACCCGAGGTCAGCCACTTTCCGCCACCGTTTCTGGTCGTGTGCCCTTGCCACAAGCCCTACGGCCCCAGTCGTACTTCTCGTAACCCTCACGCCTGCGTCCGAAGACGCTCGTGCGGAATGCGGGTGGCGTGGCAAGCATTGTTGGGCTGGGGGTCGACCCTCGAGTAAGGTTGCAGGGCATATGCAATAGCATGCTTCAGGCTGCAAGGGGGGGGGTCCCGGTCAAGATCGAGGGTCTGTCAATCAATCCCTTTCTTCTTTGTTTTTTGCCCTTCCAAAACAACATACCCGGAGACTTCATGTCCATGTGGGCGGAGAGAGAGAGGGGCCTCTGTAGCGGTGGGAAAAGGCGCAAGGGGTGCAAGATTGACTAGTTGCTACCTAATTTCCGAGTGCAAGGACAAATCGACCCTGTTCGCGGAATTTCTTGCCCGTGCCCGTGAATCTTCAATGCTTTGATTTGTGTCTCGGACTGTGCAATTCCTTTCCTTGGAATTTGGGTTCTCAGACAAAGGAACTGGCTTTGGTTGTCATGGGCAGCGGACTCGGTTTCATTAATGGATTTGAGACACATGACGAGGCTGGATGGTAGATCCTTGTTTGCGGTGTCGTTCCGGGGGGGGCTGCTGGCTGCTCTGACCGCAGGATGGCTCATACTTGGGCTTAGTGTGTGAACTTTGGCGTTCAGCGGTGAATTCGATCTTGATTGTGGTGCAGGTGCTGGCTTGTTGTTCGATGGGGGTTGGGGTTGGGGAACATGTGATCCTCTTCCTGCCTGGGTGCCTTGGTGCCTTTCTGCCTCGACTCGATTGTGAGGCATCAGTCAACAGTAGAAGTAGATTAGCATGTACGCATATACCATAGAAAATTCGCATCCAAAAGTTGTCAGCTTCAGTATTTAGAGCCCTTGATCACAATTATCGGGGACATGCTCGACATGTTCACATCAAGGTGCCGGTGTGTTATGGAGTCGGATATATGATGCTTATGCACAGATGTATATATATATCTCCTACTACTATCTGCTAATGCCTCCCTGACTACCCACTGCTCCAGTATGAATAAATAACAAACACAATGGAATCAAACCTACACTTCGATCCAGCTTTATCCCCCATAAAGCGAATGGCCATCGAGGCAGCTATAGCGATTTACTTCAGTTGATCATCTCTTGATGACTGAGACTCTCAAAATTCGGGGGCAACCCAGCTAGTAGTCTTGAAAGGGCATAATGACATATATTCTAGATGCACAGTACTAATTTCGCTCGAGATCTTACTTGTACTCACAATTAGGCACAAGTGACCACACCCATGGAAAACAAATGGACAAAAAGTAGCCAAGCTACCACCCATGCCTTACCAAAACTTCGAACCGACCCAAAGCTAAGCGTGTCGCATGTTCAATCCTCGTTCAAAAACCCCTCATATGATGACCAGAGGATGCAGAAATGGCTATCTCAGCGCGTGGGCTGGATCGGTCTTCCCCGATGATTAAGCCTGGTCGTCGAAGCAAGGGTGAGCCTGAGCACAACTGTTGCTTTGACCTGAGCATAGGCACAAAAGCCTTATACATCGCTGACGTGTTTATGTCTCTTCAGGTGTATGAATGCCATGCCAGGGGAGTGTTTCCTTTGGACGGACAGTATGGGCCTTGGCGTCTCGTAGGTCGCAGCAGAACTGGAGATGCAATTGTAGCTCTTGATGCGACCTCAATATATATACATATATATAGTCATGTCTGAGCAGCCTAGCCGATAATGAAAGTTTCAGACTATGGGTTCGGTCTTGTGAAAGTAAACAGGAATTTGATGATCTTCGGGTATATATTCCAAGCTGACCGTCACATTAGCTTTACTGAAGACTGAGATCAGGAGGTAAGTGCGACTTACACTTAATACCTTTGAGATATCTAATATTAGTATCTCATATCCGATCATGATTACAGTCCAGATTCACTTGACAGAGTCCAACAAGAGGATAAGGTCATCATCATTGATACCTTACTCGGTACGGTAGGTATCCCAACTACTTCCACCCCCACCAATCAGAAACCCGCGAGATCGAGTCACTGTCCCGGGACGCCCACTAACCCCAAACCAGCTAGCGTCTCATGCTACCCGACTCGGGGCCGCTCCGACTCTCCCGGATGAGCAAGCGGTCTGACGGGGCAGCTTTCGCTATCAGTTCTCCGATTCCTTCCACCATCTCCCCCTCTGCGCCCCCCAATTCAGCTCCAGTGTACCAGAGAGAAGACAAGACTCTGTTGAGAATCATATGCGTCTAAAGGTTGCTGACGCTCTCTGACTCGAGCTTCTTCCGACAAAACACAGTCACTACGTGCATCACACGCACCAAAGGCAGAGAGAGAGAGAAAACGAGGAAAAAAAGGAAAGAGAGCTAATCCCAGCATGTCCGCGACATCGCCGCAAGACGTCCCGGGTGGTGGCGTCGCGTCCCCGGCCCCGGAGACTCTCCCGCGCGATGCAACGCAGGAGCAGGTGACTCCTTCGGATGTAAGCACGGAAGGTACAGCGTCAAGGAAAGAGGAAGAGGCGGCGGAACAAGCACAGCGGCAAGAGGAGGATGTATCCGGTCAAGAGGCGGAAGAGGGAGAGGTAGAGGACGACTCGGAGAGAGAGGAAGGGGAGGAAAAAGAAGCAGCAGCAGCAGCAGCAGCAGCAAACCAACAAGACACATCAGCTTCGGCGCCACCGTTACCAGACGAAGTGCCCCCACCGCTCCCCAACGAAGTGCCACCGGGCGACGACGATGGATGGGAACCCGTCTGGGATGCCAACGCCCAAGCCTACTACTTCTATAACCGCCTCACCGGGGTATCGCAGTGGGAGAATCCACGGGTCCCCGGTGCCTCGGCCCCCGCCGCGTCCGCCGCCGGTGCCGTTCCCATTGACGACAACGGCGACGGCGACGACGATGACGAAGACGGCAGTATCCAGGAACAGCGCGCACGCGTGCTGGGTGGCTACAACCCCGCCATCCACGGCGACTACGACCCGACGGCGCCGTACGCGCAGCAGTACGAGCGGCAGGACGAGGCGGCCGTCGCCGGCATGGACCCGAACCAGGCGTACGAGGCGGTGGGCGCCTTCAACCGGTTCACGGGCCGGTGGCAGGCGGCCTCGCAGAACCCGGAGTATCACAATGACGAGAACAAGTCCAAGCGGCAGATGTATGCGTTCTTCGACGTGGACGCGGCGGCCAACAGCCATGATGGCCGCAGTCTGCGGGCGGAACGCAGCGCCAAGAAGCTTACCAAGGCGGAGCTCAAGATGTTCAAGGAGAAGCGACGGGAGAAGAAGGAGGAGAAGCGCCGCGCATGGCTGAGGGATTGACCTGTAATAAAGCCGGCCTCGAGTCGGATTCTTTTATGCTTATTCTTATGTGTGTTGTGTGTGCTGAGATACCTTTTCCCCGTGCTTTGACCTTTTTCTCGTTTCGTTTTTGTGTATGTCTTAAGGTGGCTAGCTTACATTGGCGTTTCATGTAATTCGCAAGATGCATAATAGAGCCACAATGGTATATATGAATTCGTTGATTCGTGCCTTGTAGATGGGTGAACTTATCGTGATGACTCGGGAAATGGATGAGTGAGTATACCGGATCAGGAGGCGGCGATTAAAGATAAGATCCACCGGGAATGGGGATGCCAGTCAGTCAGTCACCTGACCGGGCCTCAAAGTTCTCCCCATCAGAAGGACAATTGGGATAGCTTCACATTATCCAGAAGAGTTGGCGCCTCTCACAGACTTAATTTCCAAAGGTAAGACCTAGTCAAACCTACTGCTTTCCACCTGCCATACGCTTTGGAACTCCAATCATCACTTTGTGTGCATATTCCACTGAAAGTGAGGGGAGGGAGGGAGAAGCCAAAAAGAAAAAAAAAAGAAAATTCCGAAAAGGGAAATATCAGAGGATTCGACCGCTATGATCTGGCCGCAAACCCACATCGCCCTTTTTGGGTGTCAACGGAAAGAAAGCACGAAGCATGGCACTTGGAGAATCCAGCTATCCATTTCATTCATCTGCCCAGGGCATTCCCTTCTTTTGTCTTGTTCCATACAACATCCCATCCCACCCACCGTCCCGCATCCCATCCGCAAATCCTATACATAACGCAGACCAAGACGCGAATCGCTAACAAAACCACCCAGATACCCCATATTCATCTACCCATCACCCTCTGAAATAGAGTGAAAGCTTTGTGAAGCACAAAAAAGAAGCGAAAGGCCGACCCCCCCGCAAAAAATGGCTTCTCCCATCACCCTCCCCGCCGACACGATCGACGACCTCATCTACGACGCCCGCTCCGGCGACCTGGCCGCTCTCAAGGAGGACCTGACGGCCAGCAGCGCCCAGTTTCCGGGCGTCTCGCCGGGCGCGCTCGTGGCGGCGGCCATCGACGCCGCGCCGGAGGCCGAGGGAGGCAGCGGATCCAGCCTGTTGCATTTCCCGGCCGCGAATGGGAATCTCGGTACGCAAGCGCCCCAAACCCCCAAACCCCTTCCTCTACTGTAATCATGGAGTGTCTTGCACTGCAGTGTGGCCTGCCTGCCGGCCCTTCGTGAAAAATGGTCCTGGACGAGTGTGTCTGTGATTCTGGCTGATGAAGGCCCCAGAAATCCTCAACTACCTCCTCACCCTCCTCGCGACGGAGGACGAGGCCACGCGCCGCCGCATCGTCAACCACCGCAACCACTCCGGCAACACGCCGCTGCACTGGGCGGCGCTGAACACGCACCTGGACTGCGTCAAGGCGCTCGTCGAGGCCGGCGCCGACAGCTCGGTCAAGAACGCCGCTGGCCTTGATCCTGTCTTCCTGGCTGAGCGCGCGGACTGGTCGACGCAGGAGGATGGTGCTGCTCCCGCTGCTGAGGCTGAGGCTGCCGAGGCTGAGGCCGACTCCAATGCGGCGGCGGCGGCAGATCCCGGTACCATGTCCAAGGGACGACAGGTCGTCGAGTGGATGTTGAGCGCCGAGGTGGCGGCTGCCGGCGGGGATTCGGAGACGGTGGTGGCCTCGGCGGGGGTGCCGGTTACTGGGGATGGGGATGAGTAAATTTACTTCCTCTCCTCATGAAATGCTTACATGGTGTTTTGTTGTATTTGATTCTTTTGTGTGGTTATTCCTAGGGTCCTTTGTTTGGTCTTGTTGTATAGAGTTCTTTTTTTGGTATCATCTATTTTATACAGTGGGGAAAATGTTCATTTGGGTGACGCTGTCGATACTTGTGCTTTGAAATGTCTCTCTTTTGTTTCGTCTAATGTCTTGCGGACCGTAACTTTGTGTTGTCGTCAATGCATGTGGGAAGTAGAAGAGAAGCAGGCCGGTAGGTAGATAGGCGCGCAAATCATGCCGTCAGGTTCCATCAATCTCGTCGTGTCTTGTTTCGATCCTGCGACGCAGCCGACGGGCTGGATCGTAACGACGAGAGACCCGGTATCGTGCTCGTCGTGGCACCGCCATCGACAATCTCGCGCACCCGCATGTCGAGGCCGACCCGGAATCGACGGTCCCGCCAGGTCACGGTGACCCCTCCGTAAAACGCCCAGACCCAGATCGGCAACGCCAGCAACTCGCGCCCCAGCCAGGCGGCCAGCCAATGCAGGAACGGACGACGGGTGATGTTGCCCTGGGAGGGCGGCCGCGCGAAGGACGGGGTATCCTCGTCGAGCTCGACGGTGCGGCCCGAATGCAGCATGAGATAGACGAGCCAGTCGGTGAGGATCCAACCGAGCATGCTCAGCCCGAAGCACGCCCAGAACGCGGGCCAGGTGGCCAGCAGCGCCTCGGCCGCGGGGTACCCCTTCCGGCCCAGGAATTGCGCCAGCGCCGTCGTGACCCCCCACGCGCCGTAGCACGAGCACAGGATCGATTCTGTGCCTGGCTCGACCAGCGTCGCCAGCAGCACGGTGAACTTGCGCACCCGGAGCCACCGCACCCGGCGGGCCACGTACGACTGCACGCTCATGTTGGCCACGGGCTGGAAGGCCAGGTCCCCAAACACCATCGCGTGCTTGCCCCACCGCTGACCCAGCTCCTTCTCCTCGCGCACCGCACTCTTCCACAGCAGGTCCCCGATCAGGTGATCCTCGCAGATGTTGTCGGAGAAATAGTCGATGCCCGGGTTGCGTCGTCGTCGCCGATCCGCGGCGGCCGACGGTGGTGCGGCGGTCAGGTAGTCCAGATGCGAGCGGCGGAACATGTTAGACTTGCCCACGATGCAGGGGGCGATGAGCACGGTGTTGATGGCGGTGTACATTTTCGCATGCGACGACGACAGGAACAGCTCCTCCAGCCGGCCACCCCCGGTCGTCAGAGGCCCGGCGGCGGCGACGTCCCCAGCAGCAACATCATCATCCCCGCCGTTCGTGTAGGACTCAAGCAGCGCCTCTTGCTCCCCTCCCCTTCTCCTCCTCAGACCTTCCGATCCCGTCACATCCACCGCGACAGGTAGGTGATGAACGAACTTGTACCGTTTGCCGCCGCCGGCGGTTGTTCCGCACAGTTTATCCACCATCCGGCCACACACCCCCTTCCCCACCCAGACATTGCAATCAATAATCCACACGATATCGCCCTTGGCTTCCCGGTAGGCCCGACTCATATTCCGGATCTTCGGGTTGGGACCCAGCTCGTAAGCGGGAGCAACATTACCGGAATGCTGCTGCTGAAGGAGCGGATCGTCGTCCTCAACGAAGATCCGCGCGTCGGCGTGGGGGAAATCCGCCACCAGTTTCTGGAGAGTCGGGTAGGCGGGGTCGGTCTTCGTGGAGATGCAGAAGTAGACGGTCAGCTTGTCGCGGGGGTAGTCCTGGCGGAAGGTCGAGGCCAGGCATTCGTAGAGGTGCGGCTCGAGGCCCTTGACCGGGCGGATTGCGGTGATGTGAGGGGCATCGTTGGGGGTGGTGGTAGCAGAGGTGGTGGATTTATGGGGTTTCTGGAGGCAGTGTTTCCATCTAAGTTGCGGTTAATGATTAGCTTTTGGTGTTGAGGATGCAGTTCAAGAGTGGATGCGTTCGGGGGAAGGTGGTTTTTGTTGTGACGTACATCTGATAAGTGCCCAGCGAGCAGACCAGCGTCACGGTCGTATACCAGACCAGACCGACCCAGCCCGCGACGGCTGGCCATTGGATGTCGCCGTGGCGAGTGGCCAGCCCAAGCTCGGAGGCAAGCGACCGCAGGTGAAGCGTCAACATAGGCAGAGGCAGAGGCAGAGGTGGGTAGCAACAACAAGGTCGTCCGACGAGGAAATCATTCTATGGGGTAAAGAGAAGAAAAAAACAAGGAACTGGCGAAGCGAGTGACAGCAGGCAGAGAGAAATGAGCGAGCACAGACACACGAGTCCCTTCAGGCAACCTCAATGCGGTCCAGGACCAGACTGCAAGAAGGTCACCCAGATTGCAATTCACGAGATGCTCAGGCAGTCCAATCAGGCCGAGCTGTCACCTAGTAGCAAGCAGCTAGCTCCGGATTAGTTGCTCGATGGCGGAGTGAGGCTGAGATGCAGTTGCGAGTTTCCAGTCGGATCTCACGGATTCCGGGTTCGGCGCGCGATGGATGGCGGGTGGATTTTCCCGATCGTCGGGCGCATCTCGTCTGTTCTGGTGCTTGATTCCTTGTACTGTACGCAGTACGCAGTACCCAGTGATGTTCGCTACCCCTGTCTAATTCCGAGTTTCATAGTTGCGTATTTTCATGTTTCAGGTGTCAGAAATGTGTTGAAGTTGTTTTTATTAAGTAGTAGTATGCTAAATGGCCTGTTGCCCGTTCCGTGGCGCTGATATTCAAATTCCACGTTTGAACTCGCCCTCCAGTAGCTCCCTCCAATTCCTGCTAAAGACGAATAGATAATGGAAAAAAAAAGCGATGAAATCCCAGTATGCAGTCCCTAGAAAAGCGATAGCACAACGCGAAAAAAAAAAAAAAAAAAAAAAAAAAGGCAAGGAAAGATCAACCCAGGCCGAGTGTCCCAATATCCCCAATCCTACTGTACAGTCCATGCCTTATCGACCATCCTCGCTGCTCATCGTACTGTGCAAGACCATACGCCGAGCAAGCACGCCGCTCCGAGGTTACGTCTTCTTTTTCTTGCGGATCAAATTGGCTTGTAGAACATTGACCCCGGAAGTTGACTCGGGTATAGGGGTGGACACTGTTGCATCTGCCGTCGGTGCATTGGCGTCTGGCGCGGGCGCATCCGCCGCCTTCTCAATGTCTTGTGTTTGGGCGGGTTCATCTTCGACCTTCTTGCGTTTGCGGACCAGCGTGCTGCTGATGAGAGTGTTGACCTCCGTAGTTTGCTGCGAAGGATTGTCGGTGCGGCCTCGGCCCAGGACCTGTTGCCCGACCCAGAGTTGGTCGGCAAGTGAGGCGATCTTCTCCCCCCAGGCTCTTGTACTGGCGATCGAGACCTCCTGATTGAAGAAGTCCTGCTCAATCAAGAAGTCAATCGCCGCCTTGTAGTCGGCTTCGCTGAGCACAGCGTGGCCACGCCCGGCCTCAGGCCAGAAGAACGCACTGGCGTCTGCGGTGCGCTGTGCCGTGGACTCGGATACGGACAGGGTCTCAGCAGTGGGCTGGGGGCCTGAGGGGTCTGTCGGCTGTGCGACACTCGGGCCTTCTGAGGCTTCCGGTTGCTCCAACGAGGAAGCCAGAGCATCGTTGGATTGTGGCTCAGGTACTGTAACCGGTGCACGGGTTTCGGCATGTCCAGCACCGCACGAGAGGGTCTTACGGTCACCCAGAACCGACCGTGAGCTGGTCATCTGGACGGAATTGACCAGCCCCGGCGGGTTGATGACGAGCCACAGGAACCCGACCAATCGTCCCGAGGAGCACTCCTGGCGGAAAGACATCATCTCCCAAAACTGGTCCAGCGACTTGACGCTCCGCCACTGACCGGGAGCCACCGAGGACTTCCCGTCGTCCCCGGACTGCGGGGAAAGCTCATCGTCCAGGTCAATCAGGAAGCGCGTCTTCGGGTCGTCGGGGAAGCGGGGGACCAGACAACGGGGCGGCGCCTTGGGGTCGTCGCAGAGCTGATGCAGAGGGTAGCTGTTGCGCCACCGGGGGCGTTCCTGGCTGTCCAGGCGGGCGGCACTGGGGAAGAAGCCCCGGGTTTCGAACTTGTCACACCCCGGGACTATCAGGAAGGCCGTGGCAGAGCTCTGCGCCGACTCCGTCTGTCGATCCAGGGCGTTCTTCTCGTGCGAGCCGGACTCCGGCTCGTACTCGCGGAGGATCGGGTCGAACACACGGCACCACCACTTGATCAGCCCCCGGTCGTCGAGGACATGCTTGCCCTCGTTCTCGATGCTGCCGGGGAACAGATACTGGTTCTGCGCGCGCGCGAACAGGGACACCACGAGGCGGACCCCCGGTCGCTGATGCGTGCGGACCAAGAAGGAGAGAAAGGTCTGCGAGATGCGCCGGAGCAGGGAGACCTTGGGGGCGTTCTGGAGTAGATGTAGGAACCCGGTCGAGTCGGCCTTGGAGACGAAAATCGTCGTCAGGTGCGCGGTGCTGTAGATCAACACCTCCACCCCCAACACAATGATCTCGGCGCCATCCTTCCCCTCCGCGTCCACCGATGCGGTCAGAAAGTGATTCTCGCAAAAGGTGGGCTCGGAAGTCTCGCCGGGGGGTGCAGCGAAGAGCGCAGGGCAGGGAGTGGGAGTCGAGGAGACATGGCGAATGGTAAGCTTGACACCGGCGGGCAACACCTCGGCCAAGAGATCGCCTAATTCCACCTCGACCTGAGACATGGCTGGCCTAGAAAAGACCCTCGAGGTGGCCAGATCAACATAAGATGTCCAAGGGTGATTTTGGAGAGAATTGCCCGTCGGGTCTTTCTCTTGCGATTCCTTCTCCTGGTCTTTTTTTCGACCCCCTTAGACGCGTTCCATTTCACGGGCGCATCACGTGCCCGCAATCTGACTCTTTTCGTCTGCTGTCAGCACTTTATCCCTCGCTTATCCCCAGAAGGCATTCGACGGAATTTATCAGGTTGAAGAAAGTTGTTTGATTGAGAGGAAGGTGAGAAGTGAGTTGTATGAGCATAATCCTGCGCTTGCACAGCGGGAGCAGCTCCCACTAACAGGAAAGATCTCGCAGGATGCATAGACGGACAAGTAGAATTGAAGACCCCCCAGAATTTTAAGAAAGACCGCCAAAAAGCTGTCCATCCTTCCCTATCTATACACAACAAGAAGACTTAGAAGTAGCCCGCCACCGCCTTGAGATCGTCGGCGTTCAACAACGCAACCCCCTCCTCGAGCAACGTCCTCCAAATATTGTTGCGAGTACGGATCGGATAGTAAGGGGTACCCCAGTATCGCGCCCCGATTCCTCTCTTCTTGGCGGCTGCGATTTGCGCGCGGATGGCCTGGGTTTGGGTCTCGTTCAGCTCACTATGCGAAAGAGAACCCACGGCCGCCACGAAATTGGTTGACGCAATCGGGGAAATTAGACCGGTTACATCGGCGAATTGATCCTCGTCGAGCCGGTCAAGGGGGGCATCGAAGAAATAGTCTCGGTTTGCCACCGGCCCGACCAGATCCAGCGGCGTGTTACCGGTGCCTATCACTGTGACGGGTCCTTCGGTGATAGTTGAATTGTCTTTGAGAGTGGTCAAGTAGCCACGAGCACGAAGTGGTTCCAAAGCCTTGATAACCGCATCCAAGGTTTCCGGTCCGGAGGTCTTCAGGTCAATGAAAAAGTAAAGCGTTTGTGAGGTGTCGGTGTCAAAAACACCGCTGGCCGGAGTCAGCGCAGGTCAATGCTGATGGACCATTGATCCGGAGTAATCAAGCGACAAACAAGCGAATCTTACTTTTTCGTGGGCGACGTCACAAACCGAGACGTGGGATTCTGGCGTTGAAGCACGTCCAAAATAGGGTTGATGTAGAGCGACTCCAGTGTTCGCTTTTCAGTCAGGGAAGACTCGTCATGGCCGACCTATTCGTGTCAGCCTCGCGCCAACAGGATAACGTAGAAGGAGACCGACATAGAGGGTGCCATTATACAGCCACACATCGGCTTCAGTCGATATGCATCCCTTCGATAGGCCTACGGAGATAAGTCACTAAAATTCCATAGACCGGTAGCGTTGAGAACCAGCTATACATACCCGAATAGAAAGGAATATCCCTCCAATAGTCACTGGGATGAGGTTAGACATCGTACCTATTTGGCGAATGTCAATGCTGGCTTACTTGTGTGAATGAACTGGGATCTGTAATTTGGTTAGAATTGCTCCGAACGATGCCTTTCGCAGTGCACAGCCAAGCTTGAGATTCAGCACTGGTTCTTAGAGACTCACAGGCATAACCCCTCTGGTAAAATCGGTGGGATACCCATACTCGTTGCTCATGTGGGTGTTCTTCAGCACGCTCTGTAGTTCCGTCCCCGCGTCTGCGGCCTCCGTCGGAGAGCCAAGGAGGAATGCGGAGGCCGCAGCAAGCAGCGATCGGGAAAGCACCATTGTATATACTCGGAGCTGTGGTCCAAAATAAAAGTACCTGCGGCAGTATCTAAATGAGTAGAGGATCAAGATAGTCTATCTGATATAGCAAAGTATTGAATAGAGAAGAACGCGGGTTGGCGTTCGGTCCCGGCGTGATTGTTGTCGATCGAAACAAAGCTTAGGACAACTCGGAGAAGCGCAAACGGCCAATCGCAGTCTCACGTGGTGTTCCAGCCCTCATTCTTATATCAGCCACCAGACAGCGCATAACATCATCCTGAATCTCAACGAGTAGGCGCTTATAAGCTTTACTATCTATTATATGAAGAACTAGTTGGTAAAGAAAATGATCAACAGGTTTAAAAATGCTTCAAAGGCCAACATGCGTGTAAAGAATTAAGCCAATCGCGCAAACGCTAATCAGGTATCATCTAAACCATAGAGTTCATCAATATAACGAAGAGGAAGCTAGTGCATCTAAGTAGAACGAGGGCTCCTCCCATTACGAACGATCGACAGTAAATGTCCAGCGGAGCTTTGGAGTCGTCTCTCAGACCTCGCGAATCGAAGGTGGCCGAGAGTTGCTTTGAGAATCCTGCGTACTACTGCGTCGGAGACTCAGATTGCCAATGCGCTGCACGAGGTTGCTACCCACTGCATCGACAGCACCCTTTGGCGCCAGCAGCGTAGGTCCTTGCGCGGCCGCCTCTTGTACCCTAAATAGCTTGACTCCGGTGCCATTCCACACTCCAACAGTGCCGGGTGTAGCACCTGACGCGGACCCAACAACCATTTCGCTCGAGAAGATGAATCCCCAGAGCAAAGACTCATACCAACCCATGGAGAGGGCCGACCATTCGAACGAATGGACACGAACGGGCGAGGGTTCCGAGACGATGACCTGAACCATTGGCTCCTCCACAAAAGTAGGGAGGTTTGTGATCAGCGTGCGCGTCTCCGGGCTGGAAGCAGACTGAAAAGCTGATTCAGGCACGTGGGGCATGATGGCTGAAATGATGGTGAGGATCGTGTGTAGCGGCAGCTCAGGCAACCAGGATTCAAGCTATGATTTTCCAGTCAGCAAGTAACGTGTTTGACGAAAGGGGGTCTTGCTTACCCAGGTAGCAGTCGGCGTGAATCCAGTCGAGGACGCAAGGAAGGCTGCCGAAATACTGCTTTGGCTGGTCATGCTGTTCTGTCTGGAGAAGGTGGGCTGTCCGGCTGGCATCTTGCCACGTGCCTTTTCAGACATTCCTCGAAGTTGAAGGGGCACGCTCTCGTCAACGATAGAGGATATTGATTGCCGTCGAGAAGTCGGCACTGATGAAACAGACGAAACATCATGGGCCGGCGATTTCTGCGCCTCACCTTCGTCATCAGAATCATCTCCGCCAATTGCGAAAGGACTATTCTCTTCCGGAATGCGACCCAGCGATGCGCGTGCACCAGAGGGAGCTTGCGTGTCTTCTTCAGTCGGTGAGAGGACAGGGCTTGCAGCAAATTCATTCCCTCCTGACTTTCGCCGCTCATTTTGGCGTTCTATCTCCTGCTGTCCGCTCTCAAGCGTGAATTCGCGCACAGCCTCGAAGCGTCTGCGATTCTTGAGAATAGAATAAACAAGATATGAGTTGTCTAGGTCGAGTTAGCAAGTCAAACGAGACGAAACATATGCAAGCTTATCGTACTTGTGAATTGATGCTCGAGAATAGAATTGATCGACTCAAGCACGGATGCTAAAAGGACGTGGTTCGTCTCGTTAGCGAGAAGGAAGCTGGGCGCCGACATTGAAGAAAACAACTGCAGCAACTTTGAGCAGGACGCGGGAGACAGATGTTCAACGTGTGCGGCAACGTTGTTGATGATTGCCAGTAGCGCGGGATAGACAGCCGTCAATTGTCCTTTGCTGGCAGTGATCAGAGTATGGATAGACTATATCGCTGTCAGTCTCGAATGTACGAATATGGATGAACAATGACATACTATGATCAGGAAGTCTGCATATGAACCCTTGAAGCCTGGGATCCGGATATTTTGCGGAAGGGTTTCTTGAGCTTCAAACTTGAGGTTCAAACTCTTGCCAAAATTGGGCTCCACACTCATTGTCTGCAAAATGAAGATGCACATCCTAACCACACCCTGCTTAGAGGGGTCGGATTTGTACACGATGGCATAGAACAGACACAGGATAATGAAATCGTGGGAGCGGTTCGAATCGATGATAAACGACCTGAAGCGTTTGTTGCACTGCAAGGCCTCCCAGAACAGCATAAGCATCTCGGGGGCCCATTTCACAGACTTTTGACTCCCAGGAAGATAGGAGTTGGTGACTTGCATCTGCACATTGACTGTCAGCAACATACGTACTGCAAGGCGAATGTAAGCTTACTGGCTGATTCAGGATCCGGGTCATGCCATCCACGAGAAATTGAAAGTCTTGCGGTCTATGCAGTCTGCCAAAATAATGGCGGTAGTAGTTTTTCGGAGGAGCCCCGCGACCGTCCTCAGGCACGGGGTATAGAAGGAGCACCAGAAGAAGCTGCAAGCAGTAGATGACCAAAATTTGTTTCGGATCTTTCCACACGACATGGTCATACGGTACTCTCCAAGAGGCAGGGTTGTATTTGATCGCCTACACACCAATCCAAGTCAGATACAGGCCCGTTTCTTAGTAGATACCAAATGACATACCGTGTTTAGTAACGAGCACAGCAAAGTCAAGACTGCCTGCTTGTCGGGGCAAGTGGTGATGTACGTGATCGCCCTCACACCTTGCACAGGAAGTAGATCTCAAAAGAAAGTCAGCATGGAACCAGCGTCAGATGTGACGGCCGAGACTCACTTGAAGGCATGTACATCGCTTTCCCGGTTAGAGTGAGCAGTAGCCGTAGGACCTCGCAGCGATTACTTTCCAGCTCCTTGGTCGACCCCATTGAAGTATTGCATCCCACTCCACTTTGCCAGATCGACCAGGACACTTTAGTCTTTGCAGATGACAGCTTCGGGATCGTAAAGTTGGTATAGAATAGCAGGTCGAGGAGGGTGTCGATCAGCTCCTCAGCGAGTGGCTTCGCATCCTCCAATTCAGCAGCCCGCGGCGAGGTCTGATCCCGCTCTTCCGCCTGTGCTTCATCAAACAATACTTCTGGAGCCACCTGCGCCTCCCGGGTCTTCTTCTTGCGACGAGCCCAGAAGAACTTCTCCTCCCATTCCTCTAGATGCTCCGCCTCGTAGATGTATGGGAGCAGACGGGTGAGGATGCGGATACAGTTGAGCGCATCGCGGTCGGGCGCAAGCTCCGGGTCTGGGAAGGAGGGATGATTTTTCAAAACAGTGAGGCGCGAAGTGACGGAGAGTAGGAGGGTCTCGAAGTTCGATAAGGCATGGTCGCGCGTGCGCCGGATGTCGGCCGGGGTGAACAGGCTGAAGACATCCTCCGTCGACTCTGGGAGCTCCCAGAACTGATGCCAGATGTGTGAGTTTAGACATCAACCTGCCTCCAAAAAACGCCATGGAGCAGAGATACATACCCTGGTCCAGTAGGGATCGTCCGCAGCAATGTCCTTCTCCTCAGACAGACGGAAGATGCCCTGCTTGAAGACTAACTTTGACTCGGAAGCTCCCATCGTGAAGCCACCATGAAGGTTACAAGCCTATCAACCTCATGCAGTTGAGTGATATAGTCGGGAAGGGTAATGCTTGGTGCGAAAATGATGCTTTCAAGAGAAGTGCTTTGGGACGTAAGCCCAGTAATCCGATGCCGCGTGTGAATGGACTTGGTGGCATGTTGGCGTTCGGTCTTGGGTCATTGCCTTGGAAGCGGGTACGACTAGGCCCGCGGAGACCCGACGATCAATCAATCATTCAATCAGCCATCAATAACCCGGGGTGTCCTTTCTTTCTACCTATCTCTGTCTACTTCTACTGGCCATGGTCTACCAAATTTGCAATCGCTCTTCCAAGTGAAATAGTATTTGAATCTAACATACAAAATGCAGCATCTCTATGCTGATAACGGAGTCTAAAGATCCGGATGCACCCCGCTAGTAATAGCGAAAAAAGAGATAAGAAAGGAAAATTCATGAGTTTACATCACCTCCCCTGCCTGCTTCACCTCCACCCACTGCCCCATCCGCCATCGACATCGGCTTTAATAACTGCTATTGCTTGCTGACAGTCGCCGGCTTCTCTCGTACAACCACTTGTTGCTCAGGCCTAAGTTCACACGCTTACCCCCTACAGGGGATGGACTGGCGGGTCCAAGGCTCGACATGGTTGACAACGACATAGAAGACACGGTTGACATGGTCGATTCTTTGAAAGACGCAGTAGAGTCTTTGAAGGACGCGGTAGAATCCTTGAAGGTCATGGTCGAGTCTCTGTAAGGCGAGTACGATGTGCTCCGACCGAGCGGCGATGAAGATCCGAAGCTCGGTCTTCGTCCGCTTTCTTTGCCGCTGCTGTTGACCAATTTCTGGAACAGCGGACTAGGTGAAGGGGAGAAGGCAGGTCCCGAGGATACTCTGCGACCGGAGGCGCCAGCACTTGCCGACAGCGGAGATCCAGATCTACTTGCTGGGCTCGCGCCACGGGATGTAGAGAGACGATATTTAGGCGGAGTAACATAGGATGTACCGGGAGTCAGTGGCGGTGTAGCAGTGGGGTCCAGCCCAAGAAGCGAGCGTTGGGTGGGGGTCAGAGGGATGTCGGCAAGGTCGTCCTTCGGTCCAAATAGAGGATACAGCGCAACGAGGATGTTGAGAACAAAGATCACGCGCAAAATGAGGAGGGAAAGGTCAGGATAGGTAGAGAATTGGGTGATATGTTGGAGCCAAAGACAACTGTAGAAATCATGTTAGAAGTGTCCCCGAACCCTAGCTGTTATCAGCACGTCACGACTGCACAACTTACTATGACTTGATAATATCCCCAAACACACAGGTAGCGAACAAAGCGGCGCCATTCCACACTAGCTTGTTGATGTTGCGATCTCCAAATGTCCCAGCATTCTGTCGACGAACCACCTCATCCAAGTGAGGGTGGCGCCATTTCCCGGGCGTCTGGCTCTGGTCGGGGACTGGTACGATTGTAGATGCAGCTGTTGCAGCTTTGGGGGTAGAGGGAGGGGCTGAGGACGCCATTGGGAAATACCACGATGAGAAGAAGGGGCGGGTATGAATGAAACTGACAAGGAATGAGCACAACCGCATACTCTAGTAGGAGGGTGAGGGGAAACTGACTTACCGAAAGGAATAAGGGAAATTGGCCGTTGGGACTTACCTGGATATCAATTGCGCACGGGGGAGGGGGCTGTATCACATGGGATGGTTGTTATAATCTCCGATCAAAGCCTACGACAAGAGTCCAGACAGGACCATAGTCGCAAGGAAGTACGGAGTAGCAGAGAAGCCCCTGGGATGAAAGAGGAAGAAGAGGAGAGGGGAGGGGAGGGGAGGTGGAGTTGGAGACGCAGGGCGATTGATTGTTTTGGGTGATCGGTGCACCGGGCCTTCACCAAGTCAGGAATCACAATGGGCAACCACAAGCGCCATTGCCGCCGCGGTGAAGTTTTCTATCGGGACTTACTTGACCGCCCGCCCCGACCCTCGCCCACACGCGCCCGCTGCCGTTCCCCACACCTGGCATCATCATAGGTAGTCAGCCTACCAGTGGTCCAGTATAATAAGGTAGCCTTACTACGTAAGGAACGCAGGCAGCTGTCCCGTCAGCTTACCATCAGCCACACTCTTCCCATCTTAACAGTTTGTATCTCACCTCAATCTTCAGTTATTCCTCTCCTACGTTCACCCGGTATATGTACACCCTATACTGAGAGAGATTAATCCTCAGAATGGACTCCGAGCCGTCCATCGTCGCCAAACTAGACGCCGTCGTGGCGGAGCTACTGGCCGACTGGAACATAACCTCGACTGTGATTGCCGGTGGTATTGTTGCCTTCCTCATCTATTCATTTGTCACATCGCAAGATTCGGATATACATCCCTTTCTCCTCGCCCGGCAATCGAGCGCATTCCCCGTCCGGCACCCAGGCCAATCTGCTCCGTATAGAAGTCTCGAGACCCCGCATGGCTTTCCTCTGCGCACGGGTCTGAACGTCAAGGACCCCGGGGCTCCCAAATGGACCAGTGGCCGGAAAGGTGACTTGCGTGATGTCTGGAAGACTGCTGTCCGCGGGTCGGTGGAGGAGAACGGAGCTGTGACCGGCAAGCAGGGCAAGATCTTTACCGTGCTGGGAAAGAAGGCGACTGAACACTCCTTGGATCAAGTCACTCAGGAAATCAATGTCATCGGGACCCGCCTACGGGATTCCAAGGTCAAGACCGTGGCAGTCTGTTTGACGGATTCGATTGAGCTCCTGGCTGCTATCTTCGGTTTGGCCTCCGCCTCCCCGACCCTGCCATGGATTTATCGCTAACAGCGCTGTAGCTGGAGCTTTCTATAACTTCAAAATTGTCATCATTCCCCACAACTTGAAAGCGGAAATTCTGTCGGAGTTGCTGCAGAAGTCGCAAGCGGATGCGTTGATCGCCGAAGCTGGATCTCTCGACTTGTCATTCGTTGCCAAGGATAACAAACAACTGTCGCAAGTGATTTGGGTCGCCAAGCTCGGAAGCCGACACATGGACTGGAATGATGTGCCCCAGGACGTGAAAGGGACGTTGGAAGTCACTGTTTGGCACGAGCTGGTGGAAGAGAAGAAAGAGCTGGCCTGGCTTGAAGTACCTGACTATGATCCGAGCACTCCGACTCCTTCTGTGACCACTGTTTGGCCGTCCAAGTCCTCTCAAGGCGACTTCATTGAGTACCAGCCGGAGGTAAGATCCTGTCGCATCTGTCTTTTGTCGCTATCTGGTGGCTAACTACAAGGGATAGAACTTGGCCTCAGGAATCGCCGGCTTGTTGTACTCTCTCCCCCGTCAACAGCGTTTCGGCCCCAACGACGTGGTTCTCTCCATCGACTCCTTTTCTCGATCGTACCCCCTGTGCCAGATCATGGCTGCGCTGTTTGCCAATGCTTCCGTCGCCGTCAACTCCGTCGCCGGCGAAAGCGTGGACTTTGCTCTTGCGACTGTAGGAGTATCTCCAACGGTCATTGTTGCATCGTCTCGCACCATGTCCGATTACCACACCAAGTTCATGAAGCCTCACTCCGGGCCCGTGTCTTCCCTCGCGCGTTGGTTCCAGGTGCGAAGCCTGGATGCTGGATACATGCCGTCCCACGGCCTACTGAGCCAGCTTGCCAACGTTGGGCCCATGGCCGAGCTCTCTCTTGACAAACTGCGTCTACTGTGCATCTCCCACCGGTTTGACGCCGATCCCGAGGTCCGCCTGGACTTCGAGCAATTGACGGACCTGCGTCTCTTCACGGGTGCGCGTATCGTGTATGCTTTGACTGGACCTGGAATCGCCGGTGCCGTGTCGCAAACCAACATCTTCGACTACAGACGCTTTGAGGGCGCCAGCCACTTTGGTGCCCCTCTCAGCAGCGTCGAGGTTGTTCTAACGGGTTTGTCGGAGGATTCTCAGAAGGAAGAGGGTCAGGTAAGCGCAGCCAAACTCCATGCCCTTCTTATCGGCGCGTGTAGCTTACGCACTCCCCAGATTTCTGTAGCCGGCCCTTCAGTCGTCTCCGGTAAGACAGTGCTACCCGTGCAAGCTCGCTTGCGCGATGACAACACGTTGGAGCTCTGCGCCTGAATTACCTGCCAAGCGAAGGATGAGCGTTCTTGCGTTATGAATTGAGGGGTTTGACTCTATATGCATTGCACTTCCCCACCTTTCCCTGTGTATTATGTGTTCCATCCTGCATAGGCGACACAGAATGACTCTTGCACCGGCATCGTGATGAACGCCTCAGAATCTTATGAGTATAGCCTAGGCTTTCGTATGTCGATGAATTGAAGAAAGGGATATGCATCTATTTTCGAATACAAGATATAGCTCCGAGCGATTCTGAGAAAAGATCATGGTAATGTACAAAAAAAGGGAAAGAAAAAGAGGCATGACAGCCGGCGGCAAATTAGACAAAAACGATCATGGCTTGAGATATCATTTGACTAAGGCCGTGACCTGCCGGGAGCCCCGTCCGGGCTTTGTCCGGGACAACGTTGGGGCAGCATTCTTCTGGATCTTAATCCACTGCCGCAGGGCCTGCTCGTGTTTTTGGAAAGCCTTCAAGGTTGTGGCTTTGAGGGGCAGCTTTTGAGCCAGCTTAATGGCGTGGAAGATGGGGACGTTCTGCTCCAGCAGCAGTTCGACCTTCTGGTAGTTTCGGTACTCTTTCTTCTGGATCTGCTCGTCCGTCTGGACGGGAGTCTCGGACGAATCCTCGCCCGCGACCGGCTTGGTTTGCTCCGGCACCTTGATCTGGGGCGGGGTCATGTCCAGGTGGAAGCTGTGCTCCAAGCTGGCGAGCAGCCGGTCGCTGTAGGCGCGGACGAGGCCGTCGGCGTCCTTGCCGCCGAACTTGTCGAGGGCGCGGGCGGCGCTGAGCTCGAGCAGCACGGCGATGACGGCGGGGCGGCGGCGGGCGTCCTGGCTCAGGAGGCGGTTGGCGTGGCGGGGCAGCGACATGACGTTCACGAACTCCTCGCCGAGCGACAGGAGGCGGTCGAGCTCGGGGCCCTTGAAGCCCACGGCCTGGGCGCGCAGGTGCAGCTCGAAAAAGATCTTCTCGCCCAGCTGGGCCTCGCGCAGCGAGAACCCGGTGGTCTTGGCCTTGGCGGCCTCCAGGATGGCGAGCATCGCGTTGTGGCGGCCGGCGCGCCGCACCACCATCTCCAGGTTCAGCTTGCGGTGCACCTGGTGCAGCGCCGTCAGGAACGCCGGCAGCACCTTCCAGTCCTCCGCCGACCGCATGCGGCGGATCACCGCGTTGGCCTCCGCGTTGCGCGGCTGCGCCGTGAACTCCTTCGGCCGCAGCTGGTACTCCTCCGTCTCGCTGATCGCCACCGTCACCGGGTGCTCGTCCAGGGTGCCCTGGTGCTTCTTCCGGTAGATCAGGAGCTTCTGCTGCTCCGTCAGGTTGAGCGGAATGAACACCTCATTGCGGAACTTGATGAGGCCGGGCTTCAGCTTCTGGGGGGCGCGCTTGAAGGTGGGCACTGGACCGAGGATGGTAATAATGTTAGCTTTGGGGCTACTTTCGTAGGTAGGGTTTCTCTTGTCATCGGGGCGTTTGGGTCGTTGCAATACCTTTAGTGAGATACGTGCGCTTCTGTGAGAAGGAACCGACGGCTTGGCCGAGCGTGCTTGCATTCTGGCAGCGCAATAGCCTGCTGCCCATGGCGAGCTGCGCCATTTCGATATGTGGTGGTGGAGGAGGAGGAGGTGGTGAGAGAACGTATCCGCGAGGAGGAAGATAATTCCGAATGAATTTCCTGCAATCCGGAATTGACTCGAACAACGAGATAAATAGACGCACACGTTCCCCCAGGCCGCTAAGAACAAACTCCAAATTGAGGAATCAAGATAAAACTTGGAAATGCAATGAATGCAACTCACTCCCTTCCCGATAATCGTGAAAGTCGCGGCGGCGGCGGCAGAAAATCTCCCGCATTGAACCAATGGCGGACGACCCAAACAGGCAAAGGGCGGAAATTCTGCCGGTCCGAATTCCTCTCTCTCTCCAATTCAGCATCAAGTTGTTTCCCGCTGCCTTCGCGCTCTCTCTCAACCAATTCGACCCAGCAAACGGAACGCTGCAAGTTGCGCACATCTCGCCATGGCGAACTCCTCCTCGATCCTGCAGCAGCTGGGCTGCTTCCGGTCGCTTCTCACCAAGCCCCGGGTGTCGGGGGTCACCACCACCACCACCAGCGGCCGCCGCATGCTCACGACCGTCTGGTCCGCCAAACCGGCCCCGATCCCCTTCCCCAAGAAATTGCCTGAACAATTCCACGATCAAATACCGAAGCGCTTCCGATTGAACATTGGTACGTCTTTTGCCTATGCCTACCCACCCAAATCATCCCCTGGCCAGCTAGCTAGCAGGCGGGGCAAACACATCCCCCCCCCCAAAAATTCCCCTTCAATGCTAACGAACACCAACAAACAGCCCGCAAGAAGATGAAGATCTACCCGCCACCCCCGCAGCTCAAGTGCAAGGACCCGATCGACTTCATCACGCAGACGCAACTCAACAAGCTGGACCCCTCGGGCAAGCGCCGCGAGCTCTTCGACTACCGGCGGCACGCCCGCAGCGTCAAGCCCGGCGACATCATCCGCGTGACGTTCAAGAACGGCGACCCGTTCGCCGGCGTGGTGCTGAGCATCAAGCTGCGCGGCGCCGACACCTCCGTGCTGATGCGCAACCAGCTGACGCGCGTCGGCGTCGAGATGTCCGTCAAGGTGTTTTCCCCCAACGTCGAGAGCGTGGAGATCGTGCAGCGCACGCAGAAGCGGAAGCGCAGAGCTCGCTTGTATTACCTCAGGTGCGTTACATTCCTTTTCTTTTGGGGAGACAGAAAGACGGGGGGAAGGTTTGTTTGGGTATGCTAATTCGATTTTCTTTTTTTGCGGCACAACAGACAGCCTAGACACGATATGGGCAGTGTTGAGAATCTGGTCACCAACTACCTCAGACAGAAGAGAGCGCTCACTGGTGCGAAGATGGGCGGCAACCAGAAGCGGTGATTGTTGCGGTTGGGGTTGCGGTTGGGGTTGGCTGGAGGTTGCGACAACGGGCATGGTTTGGGGCGAATGTATTTTTATGTTAACTAGCATGTGTATATTGGATCTTAGGTCCGGGTGTTCGTTTTTTTTTTTTATCTCGTTTCGTGTTTCGGATACAGTTCAAATCAAAAGATCTGGGATTTCCTCTTGGCTTTTTCTTTTTGTCTTCCAGTTTACACGGCAAGAGGTTTGTCTTTGTCTTTGGTTTGGGATGAGAGACTTCGCAGATACTTTTTCCACATTTACACATGATGCCTCTACATATTGCTATACGTTTCGGATATGGTTGTATGCACCGAGCATATGAGCATACCTAAGGCCCAACGCAGGACTTGCGAAGCACATGACAGCACTTTCCAGCCCGGACGTTCTCTCTCCGTCATCTAGTATATGTACCGAAAGCTGGTCCTCGTATTAGCAGAGAACAGACTTCAAAGCAAGAGCATCCAAACACAAAAAGGCAGGTCTTCCAGAAGAAATGCAGGAAAACACGAAGCGGCAGGACGTACTTCAAATTCTCCCGATCCGTCAAGTCCAAGAAAGCAGTCGAATCGAGATCTCTCCCTTCCAAGCCTCCCTCGGTCTGAGACTGGATCCGATCGCGGCGCCGGTTCTCCCAGCGAAGCAGGAAACCCAGGGTCGAGATGAGGACAACCTCGAGCAGGTGGCAGACGATCATGGACCAGATTCCGAGCTCGTACGTTGGGCTATATCGACCAAAGTTTTTAATTTGAGCTGAGGATTGTTCAATGATCGAGTGCTTGCTGCATAGAGCGGACTTACGCTTGGCTTGTCTTGTAGAAGAACGGGCCTGCGATGTTGCCGGTGCAGTAGCCCAGGAATAGCACGGCGTTGGTGACGACTTTCTTTGTGTGGCCTGTTTCAGGTTCATCAGCCATGAGCCTATAGTTGGGGGTCTTGGAGATCGGGAAGTGGCAAGCACTGAACGCACCAGCGGTGTTCGCGATCTGCATGCTGAGAACCAAGACAAATGCTGCATTGTACGGTCCGGTCAAATAGTAACAGATCAAGCGACCGACTTTTTGATCTTGGGGCACAAACCGAAGACCAAATGCTCCGGCTATGTTGGGCAATAGAAAGATAACAATGAACAGGCAGCGTCTGTTCTCGAATCGGTCGTTGAGATAGACACAGGTCAGAATCGACAGGGCAATCAAGACTCCGTAGGGGATCTAAGAAGTGAGCAACATGATCTCTCGTCCTAGAGAATGGGAGTATGCATACCTGCATGAGGGTTGTTACGAGAGTAGAGAACCCAAATCCTTTGATGATGAGTGTTCCAAAGTTGGAGATTCCACCGTTGGGTATGTTGCCTGTGCAGATGGTATTGATCAGCTAGGGTTGAAGCGGTAGAGGTTTCGAGACCTTACAGACTAAGCCCAAGGCGAAGAAAAAGTATAGTTTGTAGTCTAGGAAGGCTTCTCGAATCTGGTGCAGTTTGATGTGCTTGTTCTCAACACCAGTTTGATTCTCGCGAAGCCGCTCGACTGCAATACGACGCTCTCGTTTGCTAAGCAGAGGCGCTGTCACTGGCGAGTCAGGAAGCAAGAAGAACATCACTATACCCCAGGTTGAACAAAGACAGCCACTAGAATGTACGTGTCCGGTCAGCTCAACATTCTGCTCAGCAATGATCAGCCTTCTCTTACATCACAATGAACTCGTACTTCCACGAAGGAAGTGCTCCTCTAATATGCCCTATTCCATATCCTAGTAGGCCACCGAGTGCAATTCCAAGACCGTTGGCCGTATACCATAGTCCAATTCGTACCGGCTGCTCGCGTCTCGTATACCACATGCTCGTTATAAGCATAAAAGCTGGGTCGGCGCAAGCTTCGGCTGCGCCTCCCAAGGCTCGTAAGACAGCAAGAGTGGCGAAATTATGACAAGCGGCTTGGATGATAAGAAAGACTCCCCTTGATCGAAGCATTAGCTGTGAGCCGCATCGGTAAGGTTAATGGCGTGGAGGTGGGCTTACCACATGAATATGTTCGCACCAAGATATTTTCCTGCGCAAGAAGGTCAGTTCTTTGTTCCGGCTGAGGACTATGTACCGTCATACCTATAGGCAAGCGTTGCATAAGGAAATTGGTCGGCTTGCCGGACATTAGCATGAGCCATCGAAGTGATGGGGAGGTCCAGACTCACAAAGGCCCAAGCGAGGAATCCGAAGTAGAATACACTCGACAGCCAACTGTATTGTGTGCCATGGAGATTCAAATCCTCCTGGATCCCAAAGATCGCCGCATAACTAAGGGTGGTCTGTACGCCACGCCAGTGAGCAACCAGTAATCTCCGATGCAGGAAGCAGAAATGAGGGTTGCGCACCTTATCAATATAGAAAAATGCATAACAAACGGCCAGGTAAGGCAGAATCATCAAGTCGATCTTCCGAAGCAATTTCCTTGCCTCCGAGGGGTCAATCTCTTCATGAGGGGCATCCGGGTCGTTGAAGAGAGCCATGGCAGTGTCCCCATCCGGCCGCGTTCCAGGCTTCCACCCTGGCTGAAAATGGTTCTCATCATGCGTATCTGAAGGGAGATCGGCGATGTTCTCTGTATGGAGGGAACTGGGTTCGGTCTGGGCTTTATTGCCCATGTTTGAATTTGGAGTGTGTTGTTGCTCCGTAGGTTGAAAAGAGCCTGGAAGCAACAGCTGAGGTGTGACGCACGAAGAGAAAGAGATCCTTGGGCACCTTTAAGAGGCTTGGTGAATGAAGTCTCAGACCATGCCTAGAGCTATAGTGAGCTCTATTTCCCGCCTCGCAAACCTTGCTCAGAACCTGATACCTTGGTAATTGGACGGTCGTTCATCGAACGTGGGGGTATCAGTCCTGTCATTTGTGCGGAGAAATGTGTTCTTCAGCCTGTCATCCAATCCACACAGAGGCAGTGCATCGTCCATGAGCATTAACTTTATACCTCGGTCATGCTCCGTCTGGAGGTTCCCTGGGTAGCCATCCACAGCATGGCTTTGATACGTGGGATATAGATCTCGGAGTAAAGCCGAGCATGATATGATGATGTGAAGTAGCTACCGTACATAAGACAGGCAGCTGATTTCAGGAGGAGAAGAACAATGCTGGGTGCTGGGATCCTCGAGATGGTGGATGAAGTAGCAATGCGGGGAAGTGGAGAAGAACGACCCCGCGTGGGGGTGGGCAGAATCTGGGGTAATTTCATCTCGCCTCCTGCCTCGGCCTCGAAGTATAAGTAAGCTACCTTGGAAGCATGCTAGCATACAACAGGATCTTTAGAATCTCCTGCGCTTTACTCTGACTTCCTGTGGGTAGCCGACATACGAAGTCCAGCTTTATTACTGCCCACAACATATTCATTTACCAGTGTAGAAGCTGCTGTGCCCAAAGCTCAAGACTCATGCTAGGGAATCATGATAGGTGCCCGAGAGAGGAGCTATGGACTGACAAGCCATTCAAGGTTACGGCTCATAACCTGGGATTCACTCTTTTGCTTGAACAATCCTTACGCTTCTGCTCAAGTCAAAAAGATAGAGCATGCGAGCACAGTGACAAGGCGGCCATATTGCTACATCAAATGTGTTAGTGACCCTTAACACCATAGGGGATTGCACTGGTCAGAAAGAGGGCTGGAATCGTAACAGAGTTCTTTCGAGGAGATGGAGACGGAAGGATGTAAACAGACCAGCAACATCCAAAGTCTTGCTGCCCGACGATGATTGATTCACCGTCAAATCGCCTTGACCTTGCAGCCTGAGTCTGATGATTGTATCTTCTAATCCAGTATAAGAGGAAGTCTGGTAAGAAGCAGACAACTCTCCGTCGCCACCACACATGGCAAGCTAAGCCCAGTCCGAATGGGTATGCAGATCCACGGGGGAACCCCGTGCCTGTATACAGCCACAATTTTCGGGATATAAATTGAGGAGTCAAACTCTAAATAGACTATCCTAGCCTAAATCTAGGCAGATCCTCCACAGGTAGAGCCCGAAGTTGGCTCCGCGACCTGGGAGCCTATCTATGAGTATATAAGCTAGGAGAACGGCACTGATCGCCAAGGGCGGGCTCAGCTATCTTGAGCTCCCTTGGAACTAGCACGGTATTGGCTATCTGCAGTGATTAGCTTTGTTGAATCACTAGGTGTTGATCGAGCCACGATGCACAGCATGGGGGGGGTGACCCATGTTTTCTGCAGTTCGATATGCCACATTGATGCATATCCCTCGTGGGAGGCGCTTGAAATGACTCATTAGTATTCGCGCATCTGACCCGTGTTGTTCGTTGATCAGATACTCTGTTCTAGGCTCCTTCATCAAGGTCACGAATGATACATTCCCAGTTTCGTGCTCAGTCGACGCTGACCGGAGCATCGGTACGCGAAGTCTGCAGTACGGATGGAGCAGCCGCCAATGGCGATGACCTTGAGCGGTGCGAGGTAGATGCGAGCCCAATAACCCACGTCCAGAAGCATGTGTGGTTCATGTTAAGCTTGCAGACCATGATGTCCGACAATGAGGCACAAATCGGTCTGCTCAGGAGGTAATTCCTAAGAAGACGAGGGGTATGAATTGCCACGTTCTGAAATGAAAGGTCTGAAAGACTTAGTGGAGCTAGATGAACAACCCCGGATAGAGGTATACACTGTCGTGCTAGCTTTGGTTCAATTGAGGTGTCATGGCAGCTTCAGAGCGAATCCTGACAATGACTCGGGATCGTGGTACGCGCAATTCGTTTCTGAAACGAGAGGAAACACGGTGTTGAAACACGATTGTGACATCTCAGAATTGAGGCGCAGTACTTTTCGACGACTTTGCGGATCATGGTAGGAAGGTTCGTCCCGATCAATGGAATGAAATGAGTCCCAATCCCTGCCATCTCTCAATCCTGTATCGATGGTGCAGATTGTAAGGGGGCGGGCGATAAGTAACCGTGGACCTTACCTAGTACTCCCCCTCCCCCACCGTTTGAGCGAAAGACGGCCAAGTCCGCCCGCCCCCAGCGTAAGCGCCCTTAAGGGAATTGCCTACTGCACTGGCACCGTCAGCCTAAGCCCCTTCTCCCCCTCCCGCCTAGCGGCATGCATTCCGGAGCTCTGCCGTCCGCTCGCTCCCTTCAATACCCGAGGGTCAAACAACGGTTGACTCGATCACTGGTCACACACCGACTTTCGTCGTTCTGAGCACCACCCATCCCATCCATCCATCTGCCAGACTAGAACGACTACTACTGTACCCCGGCTGCAGGCTTGCATTTGGTGTGCGGGTGGAGTAAATTACAATTGGCCCAAGGCGCCGTCATGGGCCTGCAGATCGAAAGAATAGGTGATGATGGGTGGTGGTGGTGGTGGTGGTGGGATTCTCACATGCTCCTCCAGCAAACCACCGGCGACGGGCTCCTCCCCGGAGTCACGATATACTGAGGAGGGAAGAAGAGTTCGGGGACTCAGGTCTGTCTGAGATTCTTCAGTAAAGAATTGATCCCGATCCTTCGCCGTGCTTGATCGCGCCTAGTCCAGTGCGATTTATTTTCGAGGTAGGGATCCGTCTTGCCTCGTTCCGGCCCATTGGCTGAGTATCGGAGTATTGCTGCATTAGTGCCACCGCTAGCTAGGCATGGTCGTTTTGATATGGACATCCAAGCACCATGGTGCTTGTGTCGCTCAGCCTTCACTTCGGAGAACTTACCTTGCGGGTTCATTTCTAGACTATCGAGGAGAAGTAGTGTATTGAATTTGAACAAAGTGTTTGCGCCATTGACTCCGGCAATGGTCTGCTTGGGACTTTCAAGGTTGAGGACTAGCGCAACTAGATTGGGGCATGAATGGAGGCCATGGGGAGACAATAAGGCCGGTGTGCTTGACAGCCGAAGAACCATAAAGGGCTTTGCAACCCACCCCTGCTATGCCGACACAATTTATGTCAGTCTGAGCCATGTGAATAGATTATAGGGTGATTATCATGTTTTTAAGACCGATTGAATACCTTGCACCGAAGACGAGACTTTATTCGATGTCTCACTCGATGTTGATCCGATGACAGAACACCATGAAATGCGAATGGCCCATGAGTTATACGTGCCTAGGTATAACTACTAGTACTCAGTGCATACCCGATCGAGGATCAGACGAGATTGACAACCCATAATTGCGGAGCACAATACACTGGCAGCCAACGACCACATTATTCCCAACCGAGAATCACGATTACAGCAGGCCTTATGGCAGTTGGTTTCGATTGACTAGGTTCTATCGCAGTCTTCCAGAAGACCAAAGTGTTCAACCATGGAACCATTGGTTGTTGACCCAGAACGTCCTCGAGGTAACAACAAGACGGGCACAGGGCATGTCGTCATGCTCAAAGGGTTGCAAAAGGCCATGAAAACAGAATCCGCCACGCAGATCCGAAGATCTCTGACGTGGGGGGTTTCGGCCATTGGACGAGTTGCCATTTCCTGCGTTCCTTAAAGCTGGGGTTTTTGGGGGGGGGGAAAGGGAGGGGGGGGAGAGACGAAAGATTCTTTCCTCCCCGCATTATGCGCGGTTGAACAGGGAAATGAATTCATATGAGAGGAACGTGCTGGGGACTATTGAATAAACTAGGTAAATGGTCGAGACTGTGGTGGTTTCAACGGGTAGGCTAGAAACAACTACGTGGTCCTTAGTGGGAGAGTGGAAGTGGAAGTGGAAGTGGAAGAAGTGATTACTAGGTAGCCGTTCGCAACGGATGGTTCCCATGGTGGTGGAATAATGATGAACGCACTGAATCATTATTGGAAAAGAGAAACAAAAAAAAGGAGGGAGAGAAGAGCAAAGAACTGTTCTGAGACCAACCCAATACGTAAGGTAGCCGGAAAACCCCAGTTATCGTCACCAGTGACCACCAGTCAGCCAGCCCTGGGCAAAGTCCCCTGCCCGGGAAGCCGTAGCCAGTAATGGAGTAACTACGGAGTAGGGAAGGTAAAGTGACGTAATGACCAAAATAGGTGTAACTCCCCCCCGACTGGAGCCCAGTGACTGGGAGCCGCAGCGGCGAGTTCACACGTTCTCTGCCCGTCCGTCCCTCTTCCTGTCTGTTTGTCTGTGTGGTGCGACCTGCCTCCTGCCTGCTGTCTCTCTCTCTCTCTCTCTGACTAAGGCTACAAGCCCATTTGCCTAATTAACTAACTGTTAATGAACTAGCTACTGCGGGAGAACACCACATTATATCATCTTGATTAAAAAATAAAATAAAATAATAATCATAAAAGCATCTGAGGAACATGCAACACCCTCCCACAAAAAAAAAGGCTGCTGGTTAGGTACAGTAGAAGATGTACTGTAGAAGAAGGGCTGCTGGTCTGCTTCTCCAAAATAGCATAGCATCCGGTCTTTTCCCCTCCGTCCCCCAGGTCATTACATGCACCTTTAAGGGAGGGGGGGGCCGCATTTCGTAGTTAGGGAGTTAAACACCCACAATCGACCCACTGCTGGCCACTTCTGGATAAGACGAAAAGTGGGTAGACTCCCAGACTCCCAGACTCCCAGACTACCAGACTACCAGTAGTAGTCCCAGTGGCCATCCTCAGAGTGGGACGCCCGCCTTTATAATGTCGACTGACCCTCCATTCCGCTGGGAAAACGTCAACGCTTCGCTTGAAATACATAAGCAAGGAACCAAACTGGGAATCTCTTCCAGGTTCCTTTTCCCTTCCTCATAAATCTGTCTTCCCTCCATCTCCTAAATAATCCGTACAACCATCCTATACTATCTCGGACACTACTACCACCGCTACCACTATTATCACCAGTACCACATCTCCCCCAATCAACCTCCAAATATCCCTAGATTAATCGCCACTCGCCTTATCTATTCACCATGTCTCGAACTAAGGTCCTGCTCGTCGGAGCAGCTGGTGAAACCGGTGGTTCTATTGCGAATGGATTGCTCGAACAGCCCAACTTTGTATGCTGTCCACGTCCACCACCTGCCTTACGCTTCCACCCTGGTGCTAATTGCGTGCCCTCTCGCCCTTACAGGAAGTCCATGCTCTTGTTCGCCCTCGCTCGGCCCAGAAGCCTGCCATCGTTGCCCTGCAAGAACGGGGTGTTCAGATCCGCAAAGGTGATCTCAAGGGTCCCGAGGAGTCGCTTGCCGATGTTCTCACCGGAATCGATGTCGTCATCAGTTGTGTCGGTCCTTCAGAACAACAGGATCAGATTCCTCTCGCCAAAGCTGCAAAGAATGCCGGTGTACAGCGATTTGTTCCCTGCGGTTTCATCACAGTAGCTCCGCCTGGCGGTATCATGTGGCTGAGAGACGAGGTATGCTGGCTGTCTCATCCGAATCTCACGTTCTCGATTTAACCTTCCACGCAGAAAGAGACGGTCTACAACCACATCAAGCAGCTCAGACTACCCTACACCATCATCGATGTCGGCTGGTGGTACCAATTCTCTTACCCCCGCCTTGAGTCCGGTCGCATCGATTATGCCATGACTTCAGCTAATAACGAGATCGTCGCTGACGGAAACTCCCCCATCGCTTTGACGGATTTGCGGGATATCGGTCGCTATGTCGCCAAGATCATCACCGATGACCGGACATTGAACAAAATGGTATTGGCGTACAACGAGGTCAAAACTCAGAACGAGATTTACGATCTATTGGAGGAGATTAGCGAGGAGAAGATCCAACGGAACTATGTAAGTGGTCTTTAGCACTGCTCGTGCCGCAACATCGACTGACGTCATAATCACTCAGATCCCTGAAGAGACCATCTACACCCGAGTGCTCGCAGCCCGCCAATCTAGCGAAACCTACCCTTTCGACCCCATCAAGTTCATTCCCAGATATCTCGCCGAATATCAACTATCCTGGGGTCTACGGGGTGACAACACGCCGGAATATGCCAAGTACCTGGGTTATGTGACTTCCAAGGAACTGTACCCCGACTTCACGCCTACCGACTTCAGGGAATACCTGGAAACCGTCGTACGGGGTGCGGCCAAGGGTGTGTATACCGACCGCACCATTTCCAAGGCTCAGCAACGCTTCTTCCCCCGATCGGAGTCCAGCGACTCTCTCTATACTCGGATCTTCCCTCGTACTGAATCGAGCGATTCGCTGTACATGTCTCGATGAAAGGCGACCTCTGTCCCTTGTCAGGAAGAAACACGAGTCGGCGCTAGATGCGCCTTCACCTTCGTGCTGCTTCGATTATGATCGAGTGTACGGTTTCCTTATCACAGTGGATACCACAGCATACGATGGCAGCCCTTTCTCCCTTGTTGTTTCTCTTTGCTTTTGCCTTCTCATGGGTCTTTTCTTGTTCCCGGGGGTTTTTAGACAGGCGTTCGTGTACCTATTGATGGCTTATGACTGTCTCGAGTGGATGAGTATGATTACGTCACCACCACCTTTATATACCAATGTACTTCGGGGGTTTTCTCCAATCACCCAGTGTCGGTGACAGGTCTCACGGTCACTGGAAAGATATCAAAAATTCATTCTTATTCATCATTCTTTCGTCGGGTCCTACGTAACCAAATCTCCAATGGTGACAACATGGACGGCAAGTGCAAATCATCCCGTCTGAGTCGGGCAACCACACGTTTTTTCCTTGTCAACTACGACTCAACTTTATGAAGCTCACAGAATTCAGGCGCATTCCCAGGATTCGAAATCGGATTTATCCGGAGGCAACGCATCCGTTCTGTATGGGTAGCGATGGCTCCGGAAAAAAGCGACAACGATCGAGATCATGATAGTGTCCCAACAACGAATGAAGGCGACATCCCTTCGATACGGCCTTGCTTCCACCCGCGCATACGGCCCGTTATTCCTGTCTATGGAGCTTTAAGTCCGCATCAAGTCAATCTACTCGGTGCGCACTCGTCTGCCGAACTTAACCTGCATGCCATACTTACCTTAGCCATAGCCATTGGAGGAGCGATCAATACCGGCCTCATGATTTGTGCAGGCCGTGCGCTTTCACAGTAAGAGCACCAACTTCTTCCTTTCCTCACTTCGATACTGACCAGAGACAACAGGGCTGGGGTGAGTACCTTGAAATTTTCGTGATCGATACACACTAACCGCCAAGCCAAAGCCTGCTTCTATACTTATTTCCTACACATTTGTCGGGTTTATTGTCTATCTGGTTCTGTGTGCTCTGGGCGAGGTCGCTTCTTGGTCCACAGAACCATCAATGGCCGAGAATGCGTCCCGATTCTGCGATCCGGCGCTTGGGTTCACATTAGGATGGATGTGAGTCTAAATACCTCATAGACCCTCGCTATCTTGTATGACCAGGTCTAATCAGAACAGTTATTGGTTGAAATTCATGGTTGTCATCCCCAATCAATTCGCAGCAGGAGAACTGCTGATAGCCTACTGGCAAGGTGATGAGAAAGGATATTCAATCTTTTGGATCACGTTCTTTCTCGCGGCAATCATCGTTGCGAACTCGAAATGTAGCCAATATTTCGACAAATACGAACTTTCCCTGTCCTGCATGAAGATCATTGTGATGTTCGGTCTAGTTTGTCTGTGTGTCGTCCTGGCTTTCGGTGGCGGCCCTGACCATGATAAGAAAGGCTTTCGTTACTGGAGCTATCCAGGTGCGTTTGCTCAGCACTCGAACAAGGAAGCAACGGGCATACTACGTACGGTCTTCCGAACAGTCCCTTCTGCTACGTTGGCCTATCTCGGAAGTGAGCTCATGGGCATCACCATATTGCGCACGCATAATCCCAGAGAAGCCGCAGGGCAGGCCATTGAGTCCAACTGTTATCGCATCTTGGCCTTCAATATCGTCAATGTGGCTCTATTGGGGATACTGGTTCCCTCTGGCACCCACGTCTTGGCCTTAGGTCAGTCCCCCGACAAGGCCCCGCCGGCATCAGCTTTTGTGACGATCGCAGAGTATACTGGCTGGTCAAAGTTGCCACATATCTTGAACGCCTTTCTACTGGTCTGTGTCATTTCGGCTGCTAGTCAAGCCCTCTATCTGGCGACAAGAACACTATATGAGCTTTCTGTAGATCGACATGCTCCTTCTTTCCTCTGTCGAACCAATGATCGGGGAGTTCCAGTATATGCCTTGGGTGTGTGCGCCCTCATAGGATGCACGGCATATCTGAATGCCTTCAGCCGCTCCCAGAAACTCTTCAATAACCATGTCAACCTGGTTTCGATGTTTAGCATACTTACATGGGCCTCCATCCTGGTGGTTCATATCTCATTCGTGCGAGTTCGAAGGGTGCAGAAGATCGCCGACGAGGATCTCATCTTCCGGGCTCCATTTGGAGTGCTCGGCTCCTGGGTCGCCTTGGTGGCATGTATCTTTTTCTCGGTGATTCGAGTATTTGACCTTACAAGCCGCGATGCTTACCCACAGGGGTTTGACTATCTGGCTTTCATCACATCTTATGTGGGGATCCCACTATATGCTATACTTGCCGTGGGATACAAGATTGCTACCAGGAGCCACTCGGTGCAACCTGAGAGCGTTGACATGAGCACCCTCAAGGCCGAACCAAGTTCGTTAAAAGCAGGTTGCACTCTTTCGACGCCGGGACGACCTGATCAAGTCTATCCAGACTCAGAAGCAGCCCGCATGCGCCGAAGCATAATCTGGTGGGTGCTGTGACTGGGCGGGGGACTAATTGAACTGGAGAGTGATTGCTCTGCATGGTCTGTGGGTCGGGAACAAACAGTACAGGACATGCTATAGAAGCTTGCTTACGCGCTAGACATTCTACTTCCCGTCCAGATATCTGATTCTCAAAATAATGGAAAGAAAAAAAAAGGGAAGGGAAAAAAATATTGATTTAGTAATTTTCAGTTTGCCCGACTCTTATGTTATAGCACTGACCTGGAGCGTGGCATCAGACTGCCGCATGCTGGTGTCTAATTACGGTACTCGAGGGATATGAGGGCAATGTTACCGGTGATACCAAGAAGGTCGCAAAGGGCGGCAGCAGCATGAAAAAGCAAACATATCGAGATTTGTGAGTATTATGTGGGTGTCACTGCATAGTAGGAATGGCCTATCGAGGTGACGGCGTCAAAAGGTCGAATTGATTCGCTCAAGAGGGGCAAGTGGAGGGGTTGAACTGAAGCTGTCAGTCAATCTTTCTTTAGCTTCAACCACCCGATTTTCTTGTTTGGTTTGCATCTTCACCCATCCAGCATCCAACCACCTTTTTTTCTTTTTCCGCTTCGACATTTCTTCTCTCGATTCTTCTCAAGGCGTCATCACCTCTAGCACTAATTTTCAATCAATGCTGGGTTCTACATCTGAGTGATCGGAGGCGAGAGTCGAGGAAGGTGTCTGGCGCTGGTCGCCCACTCGATTGTTTACCATCCACTGGTTCAGTAGTTATCCGTCGAATTGTGGAGAAACGGATTTCCCAATCGGTGTACTTTCACAACGGTTGGCTCCGAGGTCGTTCGATAGGATTGTACACACGCAGTCTGGCCTGTCAATCTCATTCATTCTCTGGCTCTAACAAACATGGGCTTCCCTATCACTCCAAGCCGAAGCGGGCAAGAATTGACTCAACTCATAGACCAGATCAACGAACGATTCTCGCTGGAAATCCCCAATCCCCGCATCTACTCCCCTGGTGGTGACAACACAACACCGGCATGGAGATGTTATGGCGGTCTCAAGCGGCTCTACTTCAAAGGCCCCTTCTATCGAGTCCTCGAGGATTTTGAAGAATGGGTTTCGTCTCGATCACTCCATCCATCTCGCGTGCTTTCAAGTTATGAACGGGAAGAGCGGCTGGGATATCTATTGCGATTGATTGACGATGAGCTCTACCTAATGGACAAAGGCTCATTTCCAGCCAACCGGTTGATGGAGCGACTTTCGGCGGAGCCTGAAGATCTAACGCCGAAGTCATTGAAGAGACGACTTTCTGCTGATGAGGACGAGTTCCACACTGCGCCGAGCTCTCCGGTGAAAGGGCCTGCAAGATTAGTTTCCCCATTGGAGACAAACGGTCCTCCCCCTGTTGTCGGATACTCTAATCAAGGTAGCCATCCGCAGTCAACGGTCGGGGCTCTCCCTGCCAACCTTTTTCAAAGCCCTCGTCGACCTGACTCGGGAAAGCCTTCCAAGTTCGTAGAGAAACTGACCGCACTTGACAAGTACCGGCGATACGACGCTGTACCTGCTGCCCAGACCGGCGTGAATGTCAGCTTCGCAACAACTACTGCCTCGTCCACTGACTTTTTCGCTTCCCACAAAGTCTCATATAACACCTCCTTTCTTTCGGCAACCACTGATGCCACTGAGCCCATGACGGAGGATGAGTCACTGTACGAAGACTCGGTGGTAGGGCATATGCTCAGCCAGGAGATGAGAACGACGTTCGAACAGCAGAATCGAGTTTCAGGCCCAATTCATGGGTCTCGTTACTGCGATGATGGACAGATCATGGTAGAACTTCTAAAAGACGGACCGTTCTCATACGAACAGACTCTCTCAAGGTCAATTCCACTTCGCTATCGATATGAGCTGGAAAGGATAGGTAGAGCGTGGAATGTGCCTTTAAGTCGCATACTCGTTGGCGATACCATCTCATTCAAAACTCTAGACGATTGTTGGGGATGGATAGCGGCTCTTAGCCAGCGAAACGGAAAGCCACTTCCAGTGAAGCCAACTCGCAAGGCTTGGGAAGCCGCTACGGGTGATTTCAAAACAGATAAGCATTCCGAGGTGGTCGTCTTTACAGGGGACATGGAGTGGTGCACTGCGTCCGAACGCGGTATTTTGAAGTTGAAATTGAATTCTCTGAAGACAGAACGAACCTGCCGCTTTCACCGACGCTTTGGATCGGATCGCTTCCTCAGTCTGACGATGCCTGCCCCGGCGCGGCCGCCGCCTCATCTACGGATACCCGAAAAGCCGGCTCTCCTGCGAGAAAGCTTAGCTCTCTGGTTAACGCAACGGGTGCATCGGTGCTTAGGTAGGGAATGGCGGCCGTTCTTTGTGGAGGAAGTGAAATCAAAACGGAAGGTCAAGTCAGAACCGAAGTTTCGAGTGGACTTCTTTGCTGTTGACGGCATTGATTTTGACCGCAGGGTGATAGTACCCTCGTCCCTACCTCTCCCAAATCAGGACAGTACGAACCGCACGCCGATGGGCTTAGAAGAACTTATTGAATGGCATATGCCTACAAAAGCCAATCTTGGACAGTCTAACTGCAAGCTCTTCCAGAGATTATCGTTAGGTCTTTCCAAAACTTATGCAACAGTGGTGCTGCGACCATCGCAGGTTCTGTCGCTGCCGGACCTCCCGGGCCGTCCGGTGATGAATGATGGGTGCGCCCTGATGTCAAGGAAGATGGCCAGCCACATCTGCGATATGCTGGGGATTACAGGAGTAACCCCTAGCGCCTTTCAGGGTCGATTCGCAGGAGCC